CTTGGATCCCATGGGTTTTGAAAAAAAGTGTTATGTTAGTTTTAACTCCATTTATAGGAAAAAAGGGCTTAATTATTGCATCTATTAAAATAAAAAAAGAGGTATACAAAAAACGTGGTTTTTACCAAAAAAACGTCCGAAACCCCCTGTTTGAGCAAAAAAACTTAAGGGGAGAATTTAAAGAACAAACACCAAAGCTTCCAAAGGGGTGGGGAAAAATTTATTAGGGAAAACAAATGTAGGTCAAAATGGGACCCAATCACGAACGAGAAGAAAATTTTTATCACCCATTTCTGGGATACTAATTTACAGAGGGTTAAAATTTAAAAAAAATTTTCCAAATTAAAAGTCTAGTAGTGTAGGGGTTTGTTTTTTCCATTATTGTTTAATTTTATTGTACAATTCTTAGTAATTTTAAAAAAACAACTACCTCATTTTGTTTTATTTTATATTTAAGGATTTAAATTTCCTTTTGTGATTTCTTATTTACATTGTTGCTTGAAAAATTAGCTGGAAATTTATACTTTCCTGTCCTTATTTTACCTTTATTTTTTTTTTAAATACACAAATTTATATTACTTACTAAAAAATTTAAAAAATTTCTTTTTACTTAAAAATTTTAATTTACCTTAAACATTTTTGACATTTAATAACCCCTTACTTGACTAAATTTCCTTTTCCCGTTTTAAAAACCACATTTTTCTATCCTAGATTACTCTTAATTAACCTTGTACGGGCCCTTAAAACCCCAAGTTTTAAAAATTTCCCGTGCAATTTTTGAATGAAAAAACATTACCATTTTCACTTTTTTGTTAATTTATTTTTTTCTTTTCTAAAATTTTATTAAAACCATATTTTTTTTTCCCGTAAATTTTTTTTTTTTACATTAAACATTATTTTTTAATTCCCAAAACATTTTGTTGCCAAATTTTAAGTTTTTATATTCAACCCCAACCTTGGGATTATCCTTTGTAACCCGTGTTCTGGGTACCTGGTTTTTCTTTACTATATAATTTTTTCCCAAAAATTACCAATTTTGATTTTTTTCTATTTTTTCTTTTGTTTTTAATTGTGTTTTTTTTTGTCAAAATTTAAAAACTATAGTTAAAAACCTTTAACTTGTCAAAAACCCTACCGACTTAGTCCAAATTTCAAGTACCATTTCAAAAATTTTATTTTTATTTTAAAAAGTTTTTATTATAATTCCTACCTTGTCCATTTAACTTTGCTTTTCCAAATTTCTTAATTTTAGGTCCCCTTTTTTTTTTTCTCCTTTATTTTAGTTTATATCTATCCCGTTTATATATCCCAAAATGTTTTAAAAATTTCAAGGTGCTTTTTCAGGTTTTTAAAATAGAAAAAAGCTCACAATCTTTTCCATTTTATTTTCCAAAACTCATTTTTTCAAAACCCATTTTGTCCCTTTTTTTATAATTTTTTAAAATTTTTAAATTTTAAATTTAAAAAATTACCCTTTTTTGTATACCCATTTCATTTCCCAAGCACTATTATATGATATCACTTTATTTTTATTAGTCCCCAAACTCATTTTTTTTAATTTGTTAAATAAATTTGGGGGTTTTTTTTGCTTAAGACTATTTTTCTTTGTTTTTTACTTAAATTTTAACTATGATTCACTTTTCAAATTTTTATATTACAAAGCATTGTTTCCCGGTTTCCAACCTTTATTTTAAAGACTTAAAAAGAATCAAAACCGTTACTGTTTTTTACTACACTGCAGAAAAATCAAAAGGGGACTTTCAGGCCAACAACAAAAATAATATCTTTAATACCCAAAATTTTAGAAACTTTAAGCAAGATTTCGGGGTGGGCCCCCAAACATTAAATAAATTCCTTAATGCCAATTTGTCCATTTTTCACTAACTGAAAAAACCCGGCTAAAGCTGTTTGACAGATGGGGCTATGCCTTTTTGGTTACACAGCCATTTCCAAATGTAGGCCAGCCCAAAAAAGGGGGTGGCACAGCCATTTTTCTACTCAGACCAAATAGAAAAGTATCACTAATACTTGCCCAAGGGTGAACATGGGGTATATAATACTAAATTCAAATCCAAATACCTACAAAAAACCCCTTTAATTTTATAAAACATCTACAGAGTTCCCCCAGTCAAAAATTAGCCCAAATTTTGTCAAAAACTAGGAAATTGTTTAAATGATGCCGCATGAACAAAGATCATTATACTCTCAGGTGACTTCAATATAATTTCCTGCAAGACCAGGGAAACCCCCCGTTAAAGAATTCACAAAACAATGAGTAAACCCGTTTGTTACTTCCAAAAAGAACAAAAAAATATAAGAAAAAATTTTTTTCCTTTCCCGAACCCCCCGGACCAAAACCATAAAAACCCCCCAAAAACAAGGTTATTTCCTAAATAAAAAAAAAACCAACTTAAATTTTTTTATAAAAATTTTTGGGTTAAAACCCCAAACCCCAAAAAAAAAAAACCACTAAAAAGAAACCTTTAATTAAAAAATGAGGAAATTTAATTTCCAAATCATTTTTAAGAAACATTACACCCTGACTAAAATTTTTTAATAATATGACGAAATGGAATTTACTAAACCAAAAAAACCCCAAACCCAAAAAGGCATTCCCTAAAAAAAAAACAGGACAAAAATAAAACAAACATTTCCCAAACCCCAATTTCCCAAACAATTTTAAAAACAAAAAAAAAATGAAAAAAAGTTAAAAAAATTCACATAAAAAAACCCCAAAAAATTCCTCTTTCCAAAAAACCCGGCCGGAAAAAAAGGGGAAAAATTTTTTAGGAAAGTTATCCAAACTTTACATTTTTTTTTAAAAAAATTAAAACATTTTTAAATTTAAAAAAAAAAATACACAAATAAAATAAATTAGCTTAAAATATAAACCCCAACTTACCCAACCGGGGGAAAAAACTTGGGTTTTTTTCCTTAAAAATTAAAAACAAAACCTTTTCCTAAAAACCCAAAAATTTTTGTACCCCCAAAATATCTTTCCTCAGGCCCCTAAAACCCCAAAAAACACTTTTTTCCTATTCACTAAATAAATTTCCCCTTTTATCAAAAGGAATAAAAAAAACAACAAATTTTTAAATACCTTAACCCTTTTAAAAATAAAAAAAAGGTACAAGGTATTTCCCAAAAAATTCAACAATGTTTTTCAAATCCCAAAAATTAATTTTTCCCCCATATAAAAATACAAAAGGGTAAACCCCGAAACCCCAAAAGGGGGAACAAAAAAAAAGGTTAATTTAAAAAAAGGGCCCTTCAAAAAATCACCCTTTTTCAAAACTTTTCCGAAAACCACTTAAAAGGGAAATCTCTCCACCCATCCCAAAAAAAACTTTTAACCCCGAAATTTGGGTTCCCTAATTAAAAATTAAAATTTTTAAAAATTTTTTTTCACATGCTGCCATATAAAAAACCGGCCCAAAGGAAAAAAGTTCCCCCCCCTATTTTATTGAAAAATTAAGTTTTAAACTTTTGATTGTTGACCCCCTTCCCCTTGGGTTTCCACTAAAATTGCCCTTGGGGTTGAGGGCCCCCCCCCTAAAAAACCCCTTTCAAATTTTACCCTCCCAAACAGAACCAAAAAATTTTTCGAAAAAAAGGGGCAATTCCCCTCCAAAAACCCAAATTAAAATTTTTCCCACAAAATTTTCCCGGGGCCCTTTTCCCTTTATCCGTCCCCTTTTTGAAAATTTCCAAATTGCCCTTCCCCCAATTTTTAAACCCCCAACACTTTTCCAATAATATGTTAAAGTCCTTCTTGACCGAGCCCCACAACCCCTTTTGCCCAATTTTTAAAAATGGGAATTTACAAATTAAAGAAAATTTCTTTTATAACCTAATCACGACACCAAACCATTTGCAAAATTCCCCCACCCCCCCACAGGGTTTCAAGCCCCGAAAATTCCCTCCTTCTAATATAAAAGGAACCCACCCCTTTTCAACAAAACCCCCCATTAGGGAAATTTTTTAAACCCCTTTTAATAGCCAATTTTTTAAAAACCCCCCAAAACCAAATTTCTTGGAAAAATTTCCAAAAATTTCTACTTCCTTTTGGTCTTTTTTCCCCATCCCCCCCTTCCCATAAAATCCTTTTTTACCCAAAATTTTCAAACTATTGGAATTTGGTCAAAGGGCCCCCACCAACAATTAACCCCATCTCCGACCCCTTAAAATTACCCCAAAAAAAGGCCCCTTTTCAGTTAAAAATAAAAAAACCCCCACCAAGGCCCCTTAACCAAATTTTTCCCCAAATTTCCTTTTTAAAACCCCTTACTTTTTTCATTCCCCAAAAATCCAATTATTTTTCCCCCTTTTCTTTAAAAGCTTTAATCTATTTAAATTTAAAAAATTTTCAACCCAAAACCCCAAAACCCCCTAAAAACCAATCTCTTTATTTCCCATCCACCACAAGCAAAAAGGGTTTTGCAAAATAAAAAGGTAAAATTGGAAACCCCCCCTTAAAATATTTTTTGAAAAACCCACCTTTATAAATTCAAGTTTCTAACAAAGTCCCTTATCAAAACCCCCCCCCAAAAAAATTTAAATACCCCATAAAAAACCCTTTTAAAATTTTAAACTTTAAGGGTTTTTCCCAATTAATAAAATTTAAACCCCCAAAAACCAATTTATTTATTTTTTTAAAAACCTCCCCTAACCCAAATTTTCCCCAATTTTGACCCCCGTTTTTTGTAATTTTTCCCCCTTTTTTAAAAGAATTTTTTTCCCCTTAAAGTTTATTTCACTAATTCTTCCTTTTTTCCCCTTAAATTAAAACTTAAGTTAAATTTTAAAAAACCAAAACCCGAAAAACCCCAAAAGCCATAATTAATCTTTGGATACCGTCTTTTCCCCGGGGTTTTTTTTTCCCTCTGTTTTTCCCCCCCAAATTTAAATTAAATAAATTAAAAAAAACATGGAAAAAACCCCCCCCAAAAACCCCCTTTCCCCCCAATAATATTTTTTTCCAAGAGTTGCACATGTGTCTAATTCAATAACAAGAAGTTGAAGAGGAAGTGGCCCTTAAGTTCCCCAGCAACAAGAAGAGTGTTGTTGCAACAGTGATGCTTCTTGCTGATATTACCATCACCTGTCACGTAGAAAATTCATTGTCACGAAGAAAAGCTAAGAAGTAGCGATAGTAATGAACACCAGAGACGAAGAGACTCGGTTGAGGAGGAGGAAGAAGCAACCTGAGGAAGAGGTGGCCACGGAGTTGTTACCTCCTCACCATGAAGGTAAGTTAAGATTTTGTTTGGATTTTTAACCCCGGAGGGTTAGCCACCCAGGATAAACCAAGAAAGGTAGTGCATCATCGAGGGACTGTCTGTCTTATTAACACTGGAGTCCTCAATCTTTTCCCCCCAGGATGCGACCCACACCAGTCGACCAACATCCAGGTACCTACTTGCTTGCTAGGTGAATGGGACAACTGGTATAAGGAAACAATGTTTCCACCCTTGCCAGGGATCAAACAGTGGATAGTGTGTGTGAAGCAAAAGCATTGCCTACCAGGCTATGGGCCACCATAAGTTAAATTCATGTGCTCTTCTTATAAGTAATAAGATACCTAGCTATCCAGTAAATTCGATTGCATCATTTGTCATGTGCAACACAGTAAACCTCAACATAATCATTGTATCCCATCCACACGATTAATTTTTGAATTTAGACAATTATTATTATATGGTAAAATTTTAAGATTTTTAACCCACTGGATTAGCCACCCAGGATATCAGGGACTGTTGGTCTTATTTATGTTGGGGTCCTTTAATCTTGTCCCCGAGGGTGTGTTCTTACCCACAACTGTCGACTAACCCTCAGGTACTTACTGTTAGGTGAACAGGACTACGATTAATGCTGGGGAGTGATCCCTGATCTCTCAGTATGTGTGAGAAGGATGATATCAACCAAGCCATAAGCCCCAAACTACAGGAGTCATACAGCACTGAGAAATGCAAATTTTGGTATTGTCAGCAAAGGTGGACGTGGTGCTGTGGGTTACATCTCTGTCTTTGTCAGATATGAATATGTTTACCTGGAGTTTACCTGCAGCTCGGTCTGAGACCAGGCCTCGTGGTGGATCAGGGTCTGATGCATGTACAGTGGGCCCCCGGTTTACGATCAGCTCCCAATGCGTCCAATTATGTAAGTGTATTTATGTAAGTGCGTTTGTATGTGTATGTTTTGGGGTCTGAAATGGACTAATCTAATTCACAATATTCCTTATGGGAACAAATTCGGTCAGTACTGGCACCTGAACATACTTCTGGAATGAAATAATATCGTAAACCGGGGGTCCACTGTACTAATACTTTAAACTGATTCAGTGATCTTAAGTTAAATGGGATTTCTTAAGTAGTTTGAAACTAGCTCTATGATTTCAGGCTATGGAAAGATTATAGATGGTGAAGAAACAGAAAGTAGTTGGTTTTGTTTGGTATAGCATAATGTTGATGTAGTTAAGTTTGGGAGATAATGTGATCTTTAATTATTGCTCTAAATTGATTGCCAATGAGTGATCAGTTTTTCACTAACTTTAACACACCATAAAATTGTAAGTTTTATCGGATTACCCTCATTTTAGTTTAATTTAATTCAAAAATATGCACTCTTGTTCTATAAAAAAAATATACACATGTATATTTTTTTAAATTTTCCCATACACACAAATTTTTGTTTTGGAGTAACACACACATTTTGCAACTTTTGTCTGGCTAGAATTTTTGTTGGTTTTAACCAACATTCACCTTATGGGGTTCATTTTATTGGACTTTTACTGTATTTGATACTAACAGAACATTATAAAATATATTGGTTATTGTGTATAATGTATATAATATTACTTATAATGATACACAATATTGGAATATAACTGTTTAATGATATAATACAACTTTTCTGTGGAAATTCAGCATTTAGTGGAAGACATTAAGTTACTGTAAGATTTAATATGAAAAGAAAACTTAACTGAAGGGGAAATAAAAAGCATATACGTATTGAGGTACAGTAATGTGATGTTAGGATTCATTAAGAATGTTATCATTTTATATAATTCTGGTAAGCTATTCCACTATATTGTTCCTTTTATTTGGATTGAAAAGTAAAAACTAATGCTAGCAGTATAACGTGATATTATAATCCCCAGTGTTACTAAATATTGAGCTTACAAAATATTAAAGGTTTCTCTTTAAATGCATTAGTCCTTTTAAGCTTGATTCAGGTTTGGCAACCCTGAGGTTGCCATTTGAACTAGTTCAAATCTGAGAGTTTTGTGAAATCAAACAGTGTCATGGATGTATGTCAGGTGGTGACGATATGGCTCACAATAGAGAAGACCTGGGTAAATCCAAGAGACTTAAGTTTATGGCTGCTAGAAAATTATAAAGATCTTATGTAATGTGGAAGATGGGATTCAGTTTTGTTATTCATTGTTTGTTCTGTTCAACAATTTATTTTGGCTTCATTAGTCCCATTTCATTTAACATGGAATGAATTAAATACTTGGCTAGAAAATGTACAGTATACAGTCTCTGCCAAAAAAAAAAAAAAAAAAAAAAAAAATTAGTGTGATGAAAAAAAGGAAAGTTTGTTGCCATTCGTGTATCAAGCAGAAAACATTAAACATGAAATGAAAGCAAAAGGTCACATGACCATATATTGATGTTTTGTATTTTCTAAGTTCCCTAATAAAGATTCTCAGACTCTTTATGTATTTTATCCATTTCAAACCTTGTGAAGACTAGGTGAGTTAGCTAAACTCAAGGTTTTTTATTAGTATAGTTAAAAGTAAATCACGGACATATTGTGATCTATTCAAATTTTACTTATTAACTTATTATTTTTATCAGTCACAAATAAACCAGTGTTCTTTTTAAAGGAGCAATCCAGGACAGTGGGAGTGAAAAACCAACCACAGTGGATGAAGTGGATCTGCTGCCCCATACGTACTGGCTCACTCGAATTGTCTACTTGCGCTTCATTGCATTTATATATTGTAAGTAATGCACTGCAGGGTTGGTGAGGTATGCATGTTTTAAAGTTAAACAAACAGGTCATGAGCCTTATTATAAGTAAGGCACCACAGCGTTTGTGAAGTATGTACATGTATGTTCTAAAGTTAAACAAACAGGTCATGAGTACCATGCAGAAGTTGATATGTCATGCTATTTTGGTACCTCAGTCTTCTCCCCACATGTAAACTTGGGTTGCTGCTAATGATTATTCCCTAAAGCCTCTTTACAAATAGATAACGTTCCCTCCCACTTTATATCTGTACAGTGTTTTCTTTCTCTCCCTTCCTCCTCATCTCATGCAACCCAGTGTTGGATCATAATTGAAATTTTAAATGCTGAAGATGGTACACGAGGAGCTTAGTTCAACTCCTGTAGCAGCAAGTACAGACTTTTATCAAACAGAATTTGTACACATAATTTGGCTAGATGTTGGATAAAGAAATGTATGGTCTTATGTTTAAAAGCCTTGAGATATAAATTTAGATTTTGTGTAACAGTTTAGTAGGACTACCTTCTGTAAGTTATAAGGTAGCAGTTTTAAATACAGTTGACTTGAAGATAAGTAAGACATTTGCAACAGTTAGGTATCTTTATTCAAAAATGTTTTTTCCTACACAGCAGGCCTCATCAGTTGAATGTAGTTCAAGAATATGAAGTTGATCTCAAATTACTACTACAAAATTGATGGACTGATCACCCCATCTTTACCTCACCACTGCTTCTGCTATCTCCATATTTGCCACCTCTGTATTTGACTGATGAAGCCTAAGCCTAATGTGTAGGTGAAATGTTTAAGAATAAAGATACCTTACTTGTCTACATGTGTTTTATCTTATCAACATTGTAAACTTTTATTACTTTTATAAAAATGATCACTAGATGATTATGCTTATTACATAGTATTATTTATAATTATTACGTCAAGTTCAGATGGTTTTTGACAATAATTTTGAAGTTATTGGAAGAAAGTTTTGTTTTCTTACTCTTGTAGGTTATTCAAAAAATTTTGGTCGTTTGATTTGCATGGAGTATTTACTCAGGTTGAGTTGCATACATGGAATATCCAAGAGGTATTGTATTTATTTTGAGTGTTATGTAAAAAAAAAAATTCCTTGCAGCCCTCCAGGAACTGTTTGTATTTGTATTCAGTGTTCTCTGTATGTGTAATTTACACAGTAGTATGTGTAGATAATTTGTATGTTAAGTAGGCTCAGATCTTTGAATAGTTGGCAGGAGGCCATATTTTACTAAAGTTTTAAAGGATTTGCTTACTTAGTACATTCTGTATTTTCTCCATTTTTTTTAGATCAGTGTTCATGTCCTGATTTTGCTCAATTCTTTCAGTTGTTGCTTTCTTAGTTGCTTACCATCAGAACAAGCAGCTTATTGGAGACAATGGCCTGTTACCTCTTAAGCTACATATGCAACATCTTGCTAAAACGTAAGTACAGTTAATAGATTAGTTTCTAATAAACTTTTAATTGTTAGCAATAATTCTCTAAATGCATGTTTTCTATTGAGTATGCACTGCCACAGAATGTCTGAATTTAAACCATAATTGTTTTGTAAAGTAAAAGGACACAAGTGCAACTAATGTGGCATTTTATTGTGGCAATGTTTCGCTCTCCAGGAGCTTTGTCAAGCCGTTACAAACGATACATGGACACAGAGTGTATATATAGGCTTAGAGTGAGGTGCAATGCTAGTGGTAATAGTAGTAGTAGTGATATAAGTTTGTAGTAGTAGCAGTGATACAGTATGGTAAAACAATTAACTTGCACATGAGTAAAAGGATATAAAATCTATTATTGGGTAACATAAAAATAATAGGTTAGACAAATATTTCTGTAGGAGGCTGAATTAGAGAAGGCCTGTTTCGGTGTTCATCCTCTGTAATGTGTTTGTGTAGCATTAGCACGAGAGACTATGTGATGGCAGGGTTTACTGTTTTCAGGAGGACTCGTGCTAAGACTTCAGAGATGGTGAAGCTGCCTTTGTTTTGTGTAATTGTATTAGAAACAGCGATTAGTGATGATTCAAGGCACTTGCGTCTGCAGAAATTAGTTCCTTTGATCACTAATTGGGCGTCCTTGAATTTCATGAGGTGATTGGTGGAATTTCGGTGTTGTACGCAGGCGTTGTTCAAGTTATCGTTCCTACATGCATAAATGTGTTCATTGAGGCGGGTGTCGAGGTTTCTTGCTGTTTCACCTACATAAATCTTGTTGTAGCCTCCACAGGGTATAGTGTAAACCCCTCTGTTGACTGGTTCATGGTGCCTGGATTTTGTCCTGGTTAGATCCTTTATTGAAGTGCTGGAAGCGATGACTACTCTAGTGTTAGCTTGTGAAAGTAGAATCGTTCAATGCAACCTGGCTGTTAGGAAGAATTATAACTTTGTTAGGAGTGGTGTTGATGCATGGAGAATTAATGATCTGAAGAGCTCCTTTCTTGCAATCTTTGATGAAAAAGGAAGGAAAATGTAAATCAGTGAAGGTTTGGTGAATGTATGTTACATTCCTCGTCAAGAAACTCAGGACTACAAATTCAGCACGCTCTAAGGAAAAATCTGATGATGATGCCTCTTTTGGTCTTAGTGTCTTGACTGGAATAGAAGTGTGTGAGATCATTTTTATTTGTAGGTTTCTGGTAAACTTGAAATCTTGGGTTGTTATCTACTTTGTGAATAAGAACGCCTAGAAAAGGTAACTTGTCATTAGACTCTTCTTCTAGGGTAAACTGGATTGCCGGTTCAACTGCATTGAGCCTTGCCTGAAGATTCTGTACATCAAAATGTTTGGGAGTTATTACAAGGACATCGTCCACGTAACGTAACCAAGTGATGCTTGAGGGGATGATGTTGAAGTGTTCAGCCTCTAGGTGTTCCAAGTAAAAGTTGGCTAAGGTGGCACTGATTGGGGACCCCATAAAATGTCACATTAGTCGCACTTGTGTCATTTTACTTTACATTTTGTCGGTAATTCTACCAACATATATACATAATCGTTTTATTATTATTACCTTGATCTGGATCTTTTGATGCTTTGAGGAAAAATATTCTAGGATTTTGTTTTGGATCACCATATATTGACAGTAGTTTCTGTGCCTTTTGCATTCTGTTTTTTACTAGGTATATTCTACACTTTATCGATATTTCTCACTTCAGTAAGTTACGGTAGCATGCAGATGAAGACCTGCCCATGAAGTATTTTTCTTTTACATATTATTCTTGTACACATTAGGTTGTAGGCTGGTAGACAGCAACCACCCAGGGAGGTACTGCCATCCTGTCAAGTGAGTGTGAATGGAAACCTGTAATTGTTTTATATGATGGCAGGATTGCTGGTGTCTGTTTTCTGTCTCATAAGCATGTGGGATACCAGATTTATCTTGGTACTTCTACTTACACTTGGGTCACACTATATATACATGTACACATATCCCTCTGGGTTTTTCTTCTATTTTCTTAATAGTTTGTTTTCCTCTTTATGTTCTCTGATCTCCATGGGGAAGTGGAACAGAATTCTTCCTCCGTAAGCCATGTGTGTCATAAGAGGCGACTAAAATGCTGGGAGCAAGGGGCCAGTAATTGCTTGTCCTGAAAAAAATACTAAATTTAAATAGAAAAACTTTGGTTTTTCTTTTTAGGTAACCCTGCCTTGGTGGGATATGGTCAGTTAAAAAAAAAAATTGTACCTGTGCAACACTAGTATTATGTGGAGTAGATAGCTGGTTTTTGTACACTATTAGTAATAATCTGTAATTGTAACGAATGTAACAAGATGGATCAGGATGGATATGGGTAGTGTTGAGAAGCCATTATATGAGTAAAATTTCCAATCTCCCTCCTGTTCATATTATAAAAATTCTATTATATTCCTATTTTTCCCACTCTAATTTCAATGTTGCTATTATTTAAAGGTAATCTTTTGCTTGACACCTTGTACAGGGTGTTGATGTGAATAATCCTTTTTTGCAGTGATGTGTTTTATAATTATTCTGTATAATAATGATAATCATTATTTTCTTACTGATATATTACAATAAACTTGCTGGCAGACCAAATGTATTTAAAGATAGACTAAATATCTATATATTCCTTTACCTAGCTGCTACGTTCTTTCTTTCAACAAACCGGCCGTATCCCAAAATGAAAAACGAAAGTTTCTCTTTTTAAATTTAGTAATTTATACAGGAGAAGGGGTTACTAGCCCCTTGCTCCTGGTATTTTAGTCACCTCTTACAACACGCATGGCATACGGAGGAAGAATTCTGCTCACTTCCCCATGGAGATAAGAGGAAATAAACAAGAACAAGAACTAGTAAGAAAATAGAAGAAAACCCAGAGGGGTGTGTATATATATATGCTTGTACATGTATGTGTTGTGACCTAAGTGTACGTAGAAGTAGCAAAACGTACCTGAAATCTTGCATGCTAATGAGACAGAGAAAAGACATCAGCAATCTTACCATCATGCAAAACAAGTACAGGCTTCCGTTTTGCAGTCACTTGGCAGGATGGTTGTACCTCCTTGGGCGGTTGCTGTCTACCAGCCTACTTACCTAGGATCTGGATACTTACTATATATATTTGTATCCTTAGGTTACCAATTCCTTTCCAAACTCAAAATTGTATTCCAGATATATTACTGTTTTTTTCAGAGTGGGCAATGACTGGTGGAAGAGAATCCAAGCTGCCCCAACACTGCTTTGGTTAGCTCAGCCATGGGATGAGGTAATCAACAGGTCATACAAGATTTGTAGCTTTTAAGCCACTTAAATTTTGCTTAGCAAATTTCTCTGTCCTTGAATATATGAGCTTTCAAACTTTTATGAACCACTTATTTATCATGTTGCACCTACTGTATATTATGGTGTTGCATCTCTATTATGGTATTGCATCTATATTAGACAGAGTATGGAGGAGGTGAATGTGTTCAGATATTTGGGAGTGGACGTGTCAGCAGATGGGTCTATGAAGGGTGAGGTGAATCATAAAATTGACGAGGGGAAAAAGGCGAGTGGTGCACTGAGGAGTCTGTGGAGACAAAGAACTTTATCCATGAAAGCAAAGAGGGTAATGTATGAGAGTATAGTTATACCAATGCTCTTATATGGGTGTGAGGCATGGGTGGTGAATGTTGTAGCAAGGAGAAGGCTGGAGGCAGTGAAGATGTCATGTCTGAGGGCAATGAGTGGTGTGAATGTAATGCAGAGAATCCATAGTTTGGAGATTAGGAGGAGGTGTGGGATTACCAAAACTATTATCCAGAGGACTGAGGAGGGGTTATTGAGATGGTTCGAACATGTAGAGAGGATGGAACGAAATAGAATGACTTCGAGAGTATACAAATCTGTAGTGGAGGGAAGGTGGGGTAGGGGTTTACCTAGGAAACGTTGGAGGGAGGGGGTAAAGGAGGTTTTGTGTTTGAGGGTCTTGGACTTCCAGAAAGCATGTGTGAGCATGTTAAACAGGAGCAAATGGAGACATATGATTTTTAGGACTTGATGTGCTGTTGGAGTGTAAGCAAGGTAACATATATGAAGGGATTCAGGGAAACCGGCAGGCCAGACTTGAGTCCTGGAGAAGGGAAGTGCAGTGTCTGTGTTCTGAAGGAGGGGGTGTTAATGTTGCAGTTTTATCTCTAGTGTAGGCATGCCTCTGGTAAGACAGTGATGACGTGAATGATGATAAAAGTTTTTCTTTTTCAGGCCATCCTGCCTTGGTGGGAAACAGCCGATGCGTTGAAAAAAAAAGAATCTGTATTGTGGTGTTGCATCTATATCAGTGCACCTATATTATGGTATTGCACCTATATTATGGCACTGCATTTATATTATGGTGTTGTATGTACATTATGGTGTTGCATGTACATTATGGTGTTGTATCTACGTATATTATAGTGTTGCATCTACATTCCCACTCCCGCCAGCATACTCCACCAATTTTCAAAAGTCTGAATCTGCTTACCATTAAGAACATCCATACTTATTCATGTGCCTACTACATTCACAGAACAGTACATACAAATATAAACCCTCCACTCAAACTTCACACCAACCTAAACAGGACACATGACCATAACACAAGACACAGATCTCTTTTTGATATACCTCGTGTCCATATCACACTGTGTAAAAACTCTATGCACGTAAAGGGCCCCAAAATATGGAATTCATTACCAGAAGATATTAAAGTAACCCAGTCTGAAAATAAATTTAAGACTCTTCTCAAAAGCCACTTAATCACCCTAGACTAAATGCTAAATACTCAGTACACACTTTCTCACCTATGTACTCCCACATCATAACTGAAACAATCACTTTGAACCTTTTATCCATTGTTGACAGGAATGTAATTGAATCATTGTTTTCATAAAAAGCATTTTTGAATATAAATATATCTTTGCCTTATACAAATTTTGATTCATTTATAATTAATATTCTACTGTACAGCTATGAAATAATTACTATCCTACTGTACAACTATGATATACTCATTAGTGTTAAGTAGACTGTAAGCCAATAATGTTAAGTTGGCCTATAATGCCTAGGCATAATAGAGGCTCTCTTTGCATTGCAACCCACTATTATAAATACAAAATCTCAATGTACTGTTTGCAAAGACATAAAATAAATAAATTATGGTGTTGCATCTATGAATATTATAGTGTTGCATCTACATTATGGTGTTGTATCTACATTATAGTGTTGCATCTACATTATGGAGTTGCACCTATATTATGGTGTTGCCACAAACACACTGGTACAGTAGTCGTAACCCATGGTCTCACCATCACCCACTGTCACCCCTCCAACAGTATATTTTGTTTATTAGATTCTTAACCCTTTGACTGTTTCGGTTGTATATGTATGTCTTACGAGCCACCGTGTTTGACGTATATATACTCAAAAATTCTAGCGGCTTCAGATCAAGCAGGAGAAAGCTGGTAGGCCCACATGTGAGAGAATGGGTCTGTGTGGTCAGTGTGCACCATATAAAAAAATCCTGCAGCACGCAGTGCATAATGAGAAAAGAAACTTTTTACAATCTTTTTACAGTACTTTTTACAATCCAAAAAGGAACAACCAATCTTATTCAACTAAAAATATGTTGGTTCTCCCTTACCATGAAAACTTGGTTGATAAATTAGACACATGTGCAGCTCTTGGGTATCTTTACTGAGGAAATGTTTCGCCACACAGTGGCTTCATCAGTCCATACATAGGAGAAACTTGAAGAACAGGAGGAGAATGAGGTAATCAGTCCCTCAACCATGAGTCGATGTGGTCAGTCCATCAATCTTGAATAGAAGATTGATGGACTGACCACATCGACCACATCAATCTTCAATAGAAGATTGATGGACTGACCACATCGACTCAAGGTTAAGGGACTGATTACCTCATTCTCCTCCTGTTCTTCAAGTTTCTCCTAGGTATGGACTGATGAAGCCACTGTGTGGTGAAACTTTTCGTCAATAAAGATGCCCAAGAGTTGCACATATGTCTTAATTTATCAATATGTCGGTTCTCTGAACCATTCATCTGCAAAACTTGGTTGATATGCCTTCTCTTCTTAAGACTTTTAATATCAAAGTTGTATTTAAAAATCTTGATACAGTAAAAAAACTTTTGATAAAGAATTCCCCCCAAAATGCTGACGGATGTGTCTATAAGATTCCTTGTAAAATTTGCAATAAAGTTTATTACGGCCAAACTGGTAAGTCTTGAACTAAGATTAAAACAACATAAATATAGCATTAGAACTGGACAAGATTCCATTGCTCTATTTATTCATGTGAGAGATTTTAACCATCCAATTGATTTTCAAAAAGTTGAGAAAGTTGTATCAAGCAAGTCCATGGTTGACAGAAATATAATTAAAATGCATTTTTGACATTAATATGAATATTTCCTTTGGTTTATGTAAATTAGATCCATTTATAATTAATAGAATTTGGAAAGAATTTAATAATACATTGGACAAATATTATTTTTATTTTTTTTATTATCACACTGGCCGATTCCCACCAAGGCAGGGTGGCCCGAAAAAGAAAAACTTTCACCATCATTCACTCCATCACTGTCTTGCCAGAAGGGTGCTTTACACTACAGTTTTTAAACTGCAACATTAACACCCCTCCTTCAGAGTGCAGGCACTGTACTTCCCATCTCCAGGACTCAAGTCCGGCCTGCCGGTTTCCCTGAACCCCTTCATAAATGTTACTTTGCTCACACTCCAACAGCACGTCAAGTATTAAAAACCATTTGTCTCCATTCACTCCTATCAAACACGCTCACGCATGCCTGCTGGAAGTCCAAGCCCCTCGCACACAAAACCTCCTTTACCCCCTCCCTCCAACCCTTCCTAGGCCGACCCCTACCCCGCCTTCCTTCCACTACAGACTGATACACTCTTGAAGTTATTCTGTTTCGCTCCATTCTCTCTACATGTCCGAACCACCTCAACAACCCTTCCTCAGCCTCTGGACAACAGTTTTGGTAATCCCGCACCTCCTCCTAACTTCCAAACTACGAATTCTCTGCATTATATTCACACCACACATTGCCCTCAGACATGACATCTCCACTGCCTCCAGCCTTCTCCTCACTGCAACATTCATCACCCATGCTTCACACCCATATAAGAGCGTTGGTAAAACTATACTCTCATACATTCCCCTCTTTGCCTCCAAGGACAAAGTTCTCTGTCTCCACAGACTCCTAAGTGCACCACTCACTCTTTTTCCCTCATCAATTCTATGATTCACCTCATCTTTCATAGACCCATCCGCTGACACGTCCACTCCCAAATATCTGAATACCTTCACCTCCTCCATACTCTCTCCCTCCAATCTGATATTCAATCTTTTGGGTAGAATAGTTTGTTTGTGGGTTGCGTGAAGGACCTGTCTAGTTGGGCCAGCGGGCCTGCTGCAGTGTTCTCTTTCTTATGAGTCGCGTGTCAGGTGTTGCTTTGTTGTGGGATGTGATGGTGAGGTGTGGTCTAGACCCTTTATTTACCTTCCTTTGATGCATCACTTTTATTGTTCCTTGATAATGTGAGTAGTCACGAAATCACTTGGAATTTCATTATTCTTTCACAGTGATTGTTTTGCATTTTTTTTTTTTTTTCAACAAACCGGCCATATACCACCAAGGCAGGGTGGCCCAAAAAGAAAAACAAAAGTTTCTCTTTTTTAAATTTAGTAATTTATACAGGAGAAGGGGTTACTAACCCCTTGCTCCCGGCATTTTAGTCGTCTCTTACAACACGCATGGCTTACAGAGGAAGAATTCTGTTCCACTTCCCCATGGAGATAAGAGGAATTAAACAAGAACTAGAAAGAAAATAGCAGAAAACCCAGAGGGGTATGTGTGTATATATATGCTTGTACATGTATGTGGAGTGTGACCTAAGTGTAAGTAAAAGTAGCAAGACGTACCTTAAATCTTGCATGTTTATGAGACAGAAAAAAGGACACCAGCAATCCTACCATCATGTAAAACAATTACAGGCTTTCGTTTTACACTCACTTGGCAGGACGGTAGTACCTCCCTGGGCGGTTGCTGTCTACCAACCTACTACCTACATGTTTTGCATATATTACTTTAAAATATTTTTGTCCTTAGCTTATAGTGAATGGTGAATATATTTATTGTAGGAAGTCAGAATAAATGAATAATGGATATAATTGAAAACTGCTTTATTAGCAAAATGCTATAAAGTGAAGCACTGTAAAGTGGGGCCCTCCTGTATATAATATATTTAAAATTTTAAGTAATTAATTGTAAGACTATAATATATTGACTAAAACAAGGTTGAAAATTTGCTCTTTAGGTTAACCCTTGGTTGGATGGACTGGCATTATCAGGCCTGGTGACCTCCGGTGTAGTTATCCTCTTGAGTGCTGCTAATGTGTTTATTATGCTGCTGCTGTGGCTTCTCTACCACTCTCTTGTTGCTGTTGGTAAGTATACTCATGTTGTCTCATTTTGACATAGTAACACTTGAAATGTATCTGTATGTTATTTATAGTTTTCTTATTTTTATTTTGTATTTTGTTTACTTTTTTGCTTATAAAAGTATTTTTAACATTGGTTATTGCATTTTGAGAGATAATATCTAAAATCTTGGAATGATATTGGCTTGTACACAAATAATTGTGACTAATTATTTATTCATTTATGGTAATTTACACCTTAAATTATTATTTTCCTTTCGCATTTCTTGGTTATAATTTCAGAGAAATTTTTCCCGTAATATGCAATTTCTAGAGTAAATTTTATTAAATGTGATGATAAATATGAATAACAATTCTGATATTATACTTCTTAGAAACATAAATTATCAGCTACAGTTAGAGTAAGAGGTAGATGGGAAAAGAGGAAGGTGGCAACAACAAGTAAGAAGGAGGTGAAAGTGTATAAACTAAGGGAGGAGGAAGTTCGGGTGAGATATAAGCGACTATTGGCAGAAAAGTGGGCTAGTACAAAGATGAGTAGTGGGGGGGTTGAATAGGGTTGGAATAGTTTTAAAAATGCAGTATTAGAATGTGGGGCAGAAGTTTGTGGTTATAGGAGGGTGGGGGCAGGAGGAAAGAGGAGTGATTGGTGGAATGATGAAGTAAAGGGTGTGATAAAAGAGAAAAAGGTAGCTTATGAGAGGTTTTTACAAAGCAGAAGTATTATAAGAAGAGCAGAGTATATGGAGAGTAAAAGAAAGGTAAAGAGAGTGGTGAGAGAGTGCAAAAGGAGAGCAGATAGAGTGGGAGAGGCACTGTCAAGAAATTTTAATGAAAATAAGAAAAAATTTTGGAGTGAGTTAAACAAGTTAAGAAAGCCTAGGGAAAGTATGGATTTGTCAGTTAAAAACAGAGTAGGGGAGTTAGTAGATTGGGAGATGGAGGTATTAGGTAGATGGCGAGAATATTTTGAGGAACTTTTAAATGTTAAAGAAGAAAGAGAGGCAGTAATTTCTTGCACTGGTCAGGGAGGTATACCATCTTTTAGGAGTGAAGAAGAGCAGAATGTAAGTGTGGGGGAGGTACGTGAGGCATTACGTAGAATGAAAGGGGGTAAAGCAGCTGGAACTGATGGGATCATGACAGAAATGTTAAAAGCAGGGGAGGATATAGTGTTGGAGTGGTTGGTACTTTTGTTTAATAAATGTATGAAAGAGGGGAAGGTACCTAGGGATTGGCGGAGAGCATGTATAGTCCCTTTATATAAAGGGAAAGGGGACAGAAGAGACTAAAAATTATAGAGGAATAAGTTTACTGAGTATACCAGGAAAAGTGTACGGTAGGGTTATAATTGAAAGAATTAGAGGTAAGACAGAATGTAGGATTGCGGATGAGCAAGGAGGTTTCAGAGTGGGTAGGGGATGTGTAGATCAAGTGTTTACATTGAAGCATATATGTGAACAGTATTTAGATAAATGTAGGGAAGTTGTTATTGCATTTATGGATTTAGAAAAGGCATATGATAGAGTGGATAGGGAAGCAATGTGGCAGATGTTGCAAGTATATGGAATACAGTGGACCCCTGGTTAACGATATTTTTTCACTCCATAAGTATGTTCAGGTGCCAGTACTGACCGAATTTATTCCCATAAAGAATACAGTGGACCCCCGGTTAACGATTTTAATCCGTGCAAGAGGGCTCATCGTTATGCGAAATAATCGTTATGCGAATGAATTTTCCCCATAAGAAATAATGGAAATAAAATTAATCCGTGCAAGACGCCCAAAAGTATGAAAAAAAATTTTTTTTACCACATGAAATGTTAATTTTAATACACACAAACTGAAAAAGGCATGCACAATTAAATGACACTTACTTTTATTGAAGATCTGGTGATGATTGATGGGATGGGAGGAGGGGAGAGAGTGTGTTAGTGTTTAGAAGGGGAATCCCCTTCCATTAGGACTTGAGGTAGTAAGTCCTTTTCGGGGGTTACTTCCCTTCTTCTTTTAATGCCACTAGGGCCAGCTTCAGAGTCACTGGACTTCTTTCGCACAAGATATCTGTCCATAGTGGCCTGTACCTCTCGTTCCTTTATGACTTGCCTAAAGTGTTTCACAACATTGTCAGTGTAATAATCACCAGCACGGCTTGCAATAGCTGTGTGAGGGTGATTTTCATCCATGAAGGTTTGCACTTCAAGCCACTTAGCACAGATTTCCTTTATCTTTGTAGTAGGCAACTTCTTCAATTTCTCTCTCCCCTCCTCTGAACCAGTTTCCTCAGGTCTGGCCTCTTGCTCTTGAAGTTGATCTATCAGCTCATCAGTGGTTAGTTCTTCATTGTCCTCCTCCACCAACTCTTCCACATCCTCCCCACTAACCTCCAACCCCAAGGACTTTCCCAATGCCACAATGGATTCCTCAACTGGCACAGGATTCTCAGGGTTAGCCTCAAACCCTTCAAAATCCCTTTTGTCTACACATTCTGGCCACAGTTTCTTCCAAGCAGAGTTCAAGGTCCTCTTAGTCACTTCCTCCCAAGCCTTACCTATAAGGTTTACACAATTGAGGATATTAAAGTGATCTCTCCAAAACTCTCTTAGAGTCAGTTGAGTTTCTGAGGTCATTACAAAGCACCTTTCAAACAGAGCTTTTGTGTACAGTTTCTTGAAGTTGGAAATAACCTGCTGGTCCATGGGCTGCAGGAGAGGAGTGGTATTAGGAGGCAAAAACTTCACCTTAATGAAGCTCATGTCCCCATAAAGTCGCTCTGCCACGTCTGTAGGATGACCAGGGGCATTGTCTAACACCAGGAGGCACTTAAGTTCTAATTTCTTTTCAGTTAGGTAATTTTTCACATTGGGGGCAAATGCATGGTGTAACCAGTTATAGAAAAAATTCCCTAGTGACCCATGCCTTACTGTTTGCCCTCCACAGCACACACAAATTATCCTTGAGGACATTCTTTTGCCTGAACGCTCTGGGAGTTTCAGAGTGATACACTAATAAAGGCTTCACTTTGCAATCACCAGTAGCATTGGCACACATGAGAAGAGTAAGCCTGTCTTTCATAGGCTTATGTCCTGGGAGTGCCTTTTCCTCCTGAGTAATGTAGGTCCTGCTTGGCATTTTCTTCCAGAACAGGCCTGTTTCATCACAATTAAACACTTGTTCAGGTTTCAGTCCTTCAGTTTCTATGTACTCCTTGAATTCCTGCACATATTTTTCAGCCGCTTTGTGGTCCGAACTGGCAGCCTCACCATGCCTTATCACACTATGGATGCCACTACGCTTCTTAAATCTCTCAAACCAACCTTTGCTGGCCTTAAATTCACTCACATCATCACTAGTTGCAGGCATTTTTTTAATTAAATCCTCATGCAACTTCCTAGCCTTTTCACATATGATCGCTTGAGAGATGCTATCTCCTGCTATCTGTTTTTCATTTATCCACACCAATAAGAGTCTCTCAACATCTTCCATCACTTGCGATCTTTGTTTCGAAAACACAGTTGAACCTTTGGCAAGAACAGCTTCCTTGATTGTCTTTCTGGTGCCCACAATAGTAGCGATGGTTGATTGGGGTTTCTTGTACAGCTTGACTAGGTCGGCTATACGCACTCCACTTTCATACTTATCAATTATCTCTTTCTTCATCTCTATAGTAATTCTTACCCTTTGAGGTGTAGGGTTGGCACTAGAAGCTTTCTTGGGGCCCATGGTCACTTATTTTCCAGAAACAGCACCGAAAATACTGTAATAATACGAAATATTCCGAGTGTATGCTTGGATGTTACCGCGGAGGCTGGCTGGTAAACAATGGGACGGGGCGGCACATGTGAGGCTGGCTGAGGGCACATTGGACGCGTCTCGGACGAAAATCGGTAAGCGGGTTTTTAATCGGTATGCGCGGCAAAAATTTTGCGATAAAAGTAATCGTTATGCGGAAAAATCGCTATGTGATGCCATCGTTATGCGGGGGTCCACTGTATTGTGAAGTAGATTAGTCCATTTCAGACCCCCAAACATACACGTACAAACGCACTTACATAAATACACTTACCTAATTGGTCGCATTCGGAGGTAATCGTTATGCGGGGGTCCACTGTAGGTGGTAAGTTATTAAATGCTGTAAAGAGTTTTTATTAGGATAGTGAGGCTCAGGTTAGGGTGTGTAGAAGAGAGGGAGACTACTTTCCGGTAAAAGTAGGTCTTAGACAGGGATGTGTAATGTCACCATGGTTGTTTAATATATTTATAGATGGGGTTGTAAAGGAAGTAAATGCTAGGGTGTTCGGGAGAGGGGTGGGATTAAATTTTGGGGAATCAAATTCAAAATGGGAATTGACACAGTTACTTTTTGCTGATGATACTGTGCTTATGGGAGATTCTAAAGAAAAATTGCAAAGGTTAGTGGATGAGTTTGGGAATGTGTGTAAAGGTAGGAAGTTGAAAGTGAACATAGAAAAGAGTAAGGTGATGAGGGTATCAAATGATTTAGATAAAGAAAAATTGGATATCAAATTGGGGAGGAGGAGTATGGAAGAAGTGAATAACAAAAAGGCACAATACTGGAATGATACACAAATATCCCGCACATAAAAGAGAGAAGCTTCTCTCTTTTATGTGCGGGTTATTTGTGTAAGAAGTAAATGTTTTCAGATACTTGGGAGTTGACGTGTCGGCGGATGGATTTATGAAGGATGAGGTTAATCATAGAATTGATGAGGGAAAAAAGGTGAGTGGTGCGTTGAGGTATATGTGGAGTCAAAAAACGTTATCTATGGAGGCAAAGAAGGAAATGTATGAAAGTATAGTAGTACCAACACTCTTATATGGGTGTGAAGCTTGGGTGGTAAATGCAGCACCGAGGAGACGGTTGGAGGCAGTGGAGATGTCCTGTTTAAGGGCAATGTGTGGTGTAAATATTATGCAGAAAATTCGGAGTGTGGAAATTAGGAAAAGGTGTGGAGTTAATAAAAGTATTAGTCAGAGGGCAGAAGAGGGGTTGTTGAGGTGGTTTGGTCATTTAGAGAGAATGGATCAAAGTAGAATGACATGGAAAGCATATAAATCTATAGGGGAAGGAAGGCGGGGTAGGGGTCGTCCTTGAAAGGGTTGGAGAGAGGGGGTAAAGGAGGTTTTGTGGGTGAGGGGCTTGGACTTCCAGCAAGCGTGCGTTAGCACGTTAGATAGGAGTGAATGGAGACGAATGGTACTTGGGACCTGATGATCTGTTGGAGTGTGAGGAGGGTAATATTTAGTGAAGGGATTCAGAGAAACCGGTTATTTTCATATAGTCGGACTTGAGGCCTGGAAATGGGAAGTACAATGCCTGCACTTTAACCCTTTCAGGGTCCGTCCCGTAGATCTACGGCTTTACGTTCAGGGTCCAAACCGTAGATCTACGTCATGAGCTCAGGTCACTCTGATAAACTGTGAGTGGTAAATTTGGGCCTAGATATGAGAGAATACATCTATGTGGTATGTGTGCACCACATAAAACAAATCCTGCAGCACACTGTGTATAATGAGAGAAAAAAAACTGAGACCGTGATTTTCGATTAAAACAGCGACTTTGCAGTGTTTTTTCGTATGTTTTTTATAGTTGTATTTGTGATTTCTTGGTCTCATTTGATAGAATGGAAGACATATCACAGAAATAGAGATAATTTTGATTGGTGTTAGCACTGGAAATGGCTTGAAACTGAGCTCAAAGTGGCGGAAATGTTAAATTTTTGCCGATGTTCAAGAATAAACAAACGAACTCACACGTCTTATACACGCTAGCTGGTGGGTCTAATATACATTCACAAATGTGGTGATGATATTTATACAATTATTACAATATTGCATAACAGTAAATCTTCTATTTTTTGGTGTGAATAAAAATAAAAATTCATTATGTGAATAAAAATTCGAAATGGAATTTATTTGTAAAGCCTCAAAACATAACTAATGAACAGAGGAAATGTTAGTTTAGTGCCAGGAATACCTACATTGTTTATTCTGTACCCTATTTTGAAATTGGAATATTTTGAACTTTGTGTTAAATTGGCCAAATCACCAATTTCCGGTCACTTTATTTTGTAGTTGAAATGGTTGACTTGGCGATTTCTTGTGCTCAATCGATAGAATAGAAGTAATACTAGTGAAATAGCTAAGAATTTGGTTGACTGGAATAATGTAATTGGCCTAAAATGGGAGTCAAAGTCGGCAAAATCGCCGATTCGTAAATATCGCTGACACATCAAAATTCACGAGAGCATAATTTCGTCAATTTTCCATAAAATTTCGTACTTATTGTTTTATTACCTTCACAAAAAGATTCTCTACCATTTCATAAGAAAAAATAAAAAATTTTTTTTTTTGAAAATTCTTGGACACTGGGGCACCACTTCAGATTTTGGCCTTGGACCCTGAAAGGGTTAAAGGAGGGGTTTGGGATATTGGTAGTTTGGAGGGATATGTTATGTATCTTTATATGTGTATGCTTCTAAACTGTTGTATTCTGAGCACCTCTGCAAAAACAGTGATAATGTGTGAGTGTGGTGAAAGTGTTGAATGATGATGAAAGTATTTCTTTTTGGGGATTTTCTTTCTTTTTTGGGTCACCCTGCCTCGGTGGGAGACGGCCGACTTGTTGAAAAAAAAAAAAAAAAATTTCTAAGTAGTATAATATCAGAATTGTTATTCATATTCAGAGTGTATCTAAAAGTTCAAATATGTCAAAAAATTATCTTCAGTTGCACTGAAACATGAAAATATAAAAGACAGTGTTAAGGTGACTGTGTGTGAATATAAGAGAGGAAAGTAAACCATTCCCTCCTCTCTCCACCCCCTTACTAGCACCTCGCTCCCTCTCCCTCTCTCCTATTTTTTATGTTTTTTCCTCCTGGCTGAAGCTGCCAAACCACCACAACTGCTGCTGGGTGTATATTGTAGTTCCACTAAAGTCACTCCCAAGATTTATTGCAGTATGTAAAGACACTGTACAAGGCAGCTAGGGAAGGATTTGTTTATATTCAGGAAACCTAAGGTGTTGACCATATGGCAGTGTAACCATAGCCCTATGCTGAATTTTGCAAGGATGTTCCAGTGAATTGTAGGCTTGCAAGGGTCTCGTTATTGTGTTTGCACGAGAAGTACGTAACATGGTTTACTCATTTTTGTGTTTGTGTCTGTATCGTAAATAATATTTTTTTTAAAATTGCCTATTTCCCACCAAGGCAGGGTGGCCCAAAAAAGAAGGAACACTTTCACCATCACCTCTTGCCAGAGGGGTGCTGATACTACAGTTCAAAACTGAAAATACCCCCCCCCTTCCCTTCAGAGTGCAGGCACTGTACTTCTCATCTCTAGGACTCAAATCCGATAACTGGTTACTCTGACTCCCTTCATAAATGTTACTTTGCTAACATTCCAGCAGTACGTCAAGTCATAAAAACCACTTGCCTCCACTCACTTCTATATAACATACTCGCACACACTTGATGGATGTCTAAGCCTCTAGCACACTAAACCTCCTTTACCCCCTCACTTTAACCTTTCCTAGGATGACCCCTACCCTGCCTATAAAATAGTTATTTCTTTGCTAAGGTTACAATGTGTGTTTACATATCATAGTATGATTGGAGCAAAGAAAGCCACTATTATGCAGAGGCATTTCAAGCAGACTTAACCTAACCTCCACTACAGATTTATATGCCCTCCAGGTCATCCTATTTTGTTTCAACCTCTCTAAATGTCTGAACCACCTCAACAATCCCTCTTCAACCTTCTGGATAATACTTTTAGTAATCCTCCACCTCCAGTCTACAAATTCTCTGCATAATATTCACACTGTTCATTGCCCTTAGAAAAAACATCTCCACTGCCTCCATCCTCCTCCTTGCTGCAACATTTACAACCCATGCATGTGCATTGCCACTACAATATTCAACTTTTTGCCTCCATGGATAACGTTCTTTGGCTCCACAGGTGCCTCAGTGCACCACTCTCCTCTTTTACCTCATCATTTCTATGGCTCACCTCGTCTTTCATAGACCCATCTACTAAACAGCCATGTTTCTCTGATACCCTTGTTGTTTAAAAGTGCTGTGTTTTGGACAAGAGATCTTGTCCTGAGTGTTATTTTATACCTTAGACTAGCAGTTACCTAGCGTATGGTCACATAAGGTAAGTTATCCACTTAATATTTAATAAGATCTCATATCTAGATAATAATAACCCTAAACATAACACAACAGTATGTATATGTAAAAAAGACCAGTAATATATAGTTGATGAACCTGAGGAGTTCAGAAGGGGTGGTTATGGCACCTCACATTTTAACAAGTCCAAGAGACCATTGTGGGCTAAAGAAGTTTAATGAAAAGGCCTGAGTGTGTATAAAAGATTGGAAGTGTAGGAATTAGGAAACAAGCCTTTTGAGCAGTGGTTCCCAACCTTTTCCCCACCAAGGACCCCATTTATTTAAATTAATTTTCCCAGGGACCCCAGGGTTTTGAAATGTCTGTCTACTCAAGAAACCAATTTTATTAACTAACAACAAACTCGTTTTCTCAATTTTATTTCACAGTTGAAAGATATACGTAACTGACTAAGCAACTAAATAAATAGCAGTATTAAAAAATACACTTGTTTAATGAGATGGTTGATGCTGGTTTGTTGACACTGTTCTGAATTTCAGGTTCAATGGCAGACAGCATAGATCAGGTTCCACATTCATCCTGTTTTTATATTTTGATTTTATGTAAAACAGCTGGGAGAATGCCTGCTCACAGGTATTAATCCTTAAATGGTCCAAACGTATATATACGTTTTTTCAACATCTGAAAGTATGTAAAAAAATGTGGATCTTCTTTTTTGCTTTACATTTGAAAACGTGTAAAAAAAACTTTTATCTACATTTTTTTTTTGTTATATTTGAAAATATGTAAAAAAAGTAGATCTACTTTTGTAGCACTACGAATTTGAACGTCAATCTCTTTGGACCGTTTAAGGGTTAAATATCTCAGTGCTTTGCATGCCAGTTCTGGCTACTCATTTTTCATATGCAACCAAAATTGTGATAAGTTGTATTGTTTGATGGAGGTTTGACATGTTCAATTCGACAGCCCATAAAATAGGACCAACAGTTTAGAAAAGCATCTAAAAAATCAGATTATTCCTGTTTGTTTGGAAATGGCTTTGAAATTATGAGAGTTAATCTTTATCAGCATTATTGTGAGTATACATTTTAAACTCCTAGTTAGTAGGTTGGTAGACAGCAACCGCCCAGGGAGGTACTACCGTCCTGCCAATGAGTGTAAAACAAAAGCCTGTAATTGTTTTACATGATGGTAGGATTGCTGGTGTCCTCTTTTCTGTCTCATGAACATGCAAGATTTCAGGTACATCTTGCTACTTCTACTTACACTTAGGTCACACTACACATACATGTACAAGCATATATATACACACCCCTCTGGGTTTTCTTCTATTTTCTTTCTAGTTCTTATTCTTGTTTATTTCCTCTTATCTCCATGGGGGAGTGGAACAGAATTCTTCCTCCGTAAGCCATGCATGTTTTAAGAGGCAATTAAAATGCCGAGAGCAAGGGGCTAGTAACCCCTTCTCCTGTATAGATTACTAAATTTGAAAAGAGAAACTTTTATTTTTCTTTTTGGGCCACCCTGCCTCGGTGGGATACGGCCAGTTTGTTGAAAAAAAAAAATTGAACTTAGCTCACTGACCTCCAGTACTTTTCCTTCTGACCAGTCTTGTTATAAAACTGCCACTTTACAAAGCAGCATGTTTAAAAGTCAAAGCCATATAAAAAAAAATTCTTATTTTTGGGGTAACTTGTTCCATACAGAAACCTTTATAATTTGTGTATGAATTTAGAGAAAGAGAGGTTATCAGAGTAAAGTTAAATTTTGGAATTAAGGTAGTGAGAGACTGTATTTCTGCAGGGCAGAGATGGTATGGCTTTGGTTGGGAGTCGCAGCTTCTGGAGACAGGGTTACTTGGAGTCTGGGGTGTACCTTTACTATCTCTTGCTGCCCTGCCACAAGCCACACCATCTTCACCAGTCTTGATATGGGGTCTGCGCTGGCTCATATTCAGGATTATGCTTGGAGCAGGACTGATCAAAGTTCGTGGTGATCAGTGCTGGATGGACCTCACTTGCATGAATTATCACTATCAGGTTTGTGTTGGCTTACTGCTGATATTTGAAAAGCACAGTACATTTCTTCGTTAGGTTACCACTTGATCAGTTGTATTTTAGCAACTGTATAAAGAAGGCTAGCTATCACTGGAATTTAATTATTAATGTTTTTCAATTAACTGTTGATTGTTTTAGTCCAAATAATTATATCCTGTTTGACTTTCACAAGTAATTGTTAAAGAGGTTTGTTTGTATCTCAGACCCAGCCAGTGCCCAATCCTATGGCATACTACTTGCACAAGACTCCCGAGTGGGTACACATGACAGAAACCTTTGGCAACCACATTATTGAACTGATACTTCCATTCTTCACCTTCTTGCCTAGAGCTTTTAGAATGACTTGTGGGATTGGTCAGATTGCATTCCAGGTAAGCGAGAATGAATTACTGTTATAAATATAGCTACCATTTTACCTTTTTTTGTGGCTACTCCCTTTGATAGTATTGAATGAAATGAACCAATGAAATTCTAGAGTTCAAACTGTATGGAAGCTTATTTTCTTGGTAAATCTTAAAAATTAATTTATTTTAGATATCTCTTAGGATGGAGGGAGGGGGTAAAAGAAGTTTTGTGTGCAAGGGGCCTAGACATGCAGCAGGCATGTGTGAGGATGGAGACAAATGGTTTTTGGGGACCTGATGAGCTGTTGGAGTGTGAGCAGGGTAATATTTTGTGAAGGGATTAGGGAAACCTGTTAGCCAGACTTGAATCCTGGAGGTGGGAAGTACAATGCCTGCACTTTAAAGGAGGGGTTTGGGATATGGCCTGTTTGGAGTGACATCTAAATTGTCATATCTTGTCACCTCTGCAAAGACATTGATATTGTGTGAATGATGGTGAAAGTGTTTCTTTTTTGGGTCATCCTGCCTCGGTGGGAGACGGCCGACATGTTGAAGAAAAAAAATTCTTATAAATATTGAGAGCCAGAATTTTTTTTTTTTATTTATGACCTGTTCTTTAACCCTTTGACTGTTTCGGCCATATAGTATATACGTCTCACGAGCCAGTGTTTTGGACGTATATATACTCAATAATTCTAGCGGCTTCAGATCAAGCAGGAGAAAGCTGGTAGGCCCACATGTGAGAGAATGGGCCTGTGTGGTCAGTGTGCACTGTATAAAAAAAATCCTGCAGCACGCAGTGCATAATGAGAGAAAAAACTCCAACCATGTTTTTTGGATTAAAATGCCGAATTTGAGATGTACAGTGGACCCTTGAGTTTCAGCAGCCTCGACTTTCATGAAATTCGGCCTTCGGCGAGTTTTTTTTTGGCAAAATTTGGCCTCGAGTTTTGTGATTAGACTCGTGTTTCGGTGACTGTCCGGTACCCATCCGCCCATCACAGTGCACACCAAGCCAGTCTCCCACGCCATTCACGCTCAGTGTGCCATTGTTTACCAACACGTGACAATCACCCTGCGGGTTCATGCAATACATTTCATAATAATCCATTGTTTTTTGTGCTTGCAACTGCTAAATAAGTCATCATGGACCCAAGGAAAGCTAGTGCAAGCCCTTTGGTAAATAAAGTGAGGAACACAATCTAGAGGGATTTTGAATGGTTTGAGGCAGACCTTGTCCCTACTGACCCTCTGCCTGTTGTGGAAGGTATTGTGGCATTGGGCAAGTCCATGGGGTTGGAGGTGAGTGACGGGGATGTGGAAGAGTTGGTGGAGGACCACAAGGAAGAGCTAACCACTGACGAACTGCAAGAGCTTCAACTGGAACAGCATCAGACCACAGCCGAGGAACTTGCTTCAGAGGAGGAGGAAAAGAGAGTGAAGGAGGTTCCTTCTTCAGTGATTAAGGACATGTGTGGAATGTGGAATGAGTTGCAAACAAGCCATATCTGCAACATGTACAATGACAGTGTTGTGTCCCACTTCAGGGGAAATCTTAAAGAAACGCCAGAAAAAGACCTCTCTGGACAGATATTTTGTGTGACAGGGGTCCAGTGACTCTCAAGTTGTTCCCAGTGGCATTAAAAGAAGAAGGGAAGTAACCCCAGATAAGGACTTGCTACCTAAAGTCCTAATGGAAGGAGATTCTCCTTCCAAACAATGGTGTACACCTTCCTCCTATCCCCTCCTCCCGTCTTCCATCCACCCAGAAGTCTTCAGTAAAGGTAAGTGTAATGTTATTATTATTTTTTATATGCATGTACTTGATTTCTCATTGATTTCAGTATATAAATCTTTGTTTAATATGAAAAAAAATATTTTATTTTAATATTCTTATGTGGAAAGTGGTTTCGAGTTTCGTGAATTTCGACTGTCGGCAGGCTCTCTGGAACGGATTAATCATGAAACTCGGGGGTCCACTGTATTTTCCTATAGTGTTTATGGTTGTATTCTCATTTTCTTGGTCTCATTGATGGAATGGAAAACATTGAAGAAATAGAGATGATTTTGATTAGTTTCATAATGAAAACGACCTTGAAATTGAGCTCAAAGTGTTGGAAATGTTCGATTTTTACCAATGTTCAAGAGAAAGCAAATCACACCACATGTCCAATACACGTCAGCTGGAGAGTCTAATATTCTTTCACTAGTGCACTGATATTATTAATACCATTTTTACAACAATGTAGTAGTCTGCATAACAGTAAATCTTCTATTTTTTGTGTGAATAAAAAATCAAAATAGAAAGCAAGAGTAATTTAAGAGGGGCCTGGAGACGTGACTAATGAACAGAGAATGTTTTTTAGTGCATTGTTTATTCTGGACCCTATTTTGAAATTGGCATCTTTTTTAATTTATGTGAAATTGGTCAAATTGCCAATTTCTGACCACTTTATTGGGTAGTTGAAATTGGTAAATGGGTGGTTTCTTGTACTCAGTTGATAGAAAAATGGAGTTTTAAAGAAATAGCTATGAATTTGGCCGACTGGAACAATGGAATTGGCCGAAAACAGGGCTCAAAGTCGACGAAATTACTGATGCATGTATGTCGCCGGGATCACTAACTTCGCGAGTGCTTAATTCCATAAGTTTTCAATCAAATTTCATACTTTTGGTGTCATTACCATCGGGAAAAGATTCTCTATCATTTCATAAGAAAAAATAATTTTTTTTTTTTTTTTTTCCAAAAATTTTTCGACACCAGGAGACACTTCAGGATTTGGGGTTGCGACAGTCAAAGGGTTAATGATTTTAAACAATAGTTGCAAATAATTGCATGGGAGATATGCATAGTTATTAGGATAAATGCAGATAATAATAGTGATAGTTTTCAAGATGAGTGGAAAGGGCTACATTTTGCATTGCTATATAATACAGTACATGCAGACACTGTTTATACAGTGGTACCTCGGGATATGAACTTAATTCATTCCAGAAGGCTGATCTAGTGCCGATAAAAACAAATTTGTTCCCGTAAGGAATAATGTAAATTAGATTAATCCGTTTCAGACCCCCAAAAATACACTTACAAAAGCACTTACATAATTGTTCGAGACAAAAGCACTTACATAATTGTTCAAGTTTTGAGCTGTTCATGTCCCGAGGTACCACTGTATGTGTAATAATGTTTTTAAGTGTTGCTTGTCATGAAACTAAATTTTTGGGAATGTACTTTGTGCAAGCAAAGCACAATGTACAGCACACTGGTAGGCTAAGTAAGGTAAGGTGTGGTCCATGCACCAAGGTGATCAAATCTCTGTGAAGTACAGTATTATAAGAGAAGGCAGTTTGTCCCTGTGATAAGACCTGTATAAATTGAGCATAAAGAGTGATAAATAAATGAATTTTATGTGGCATGTAATAGAAATAGAAACTAAAAACACAGCACTGTGAAAGTGTAGATTGTGTAATAAAATAATAAAGATATGTATCAAACAGTGATGGGACCTAGGAATCATTAACAAAACATTGTGACCAGAAGATCATGAAAATAAAATATAGTGTTTGGAAATCTTTACTACCTTGTCTAACTGTAAGTTAGCCTTTAGATAGACTGCTGGGGAAATACTAAAAAAGTTGTTTATAACATGCATTAGACCATAACTGGAATATGCAATGGGAACAGGCTTGAATAAAAAAAAAACTTGGGGACAGGCTTGAAAAAAAACATAGATAAGTTACAAAATGAATCATTGTAAAACAGGACCTACCTATATGGTAATGGCATTATTGTCCTAAGGAAGAAATCCACTAGAGTGGTGGATAGAAAACATGATGGCTCTTCTATCTGTGGCAAACCTAGTCAGTAAATGATTTCACTGCCCTCTTCAATAGAGAAAGCATTGAAGGGAACATTGTTTTCATAGGAGCAGATTAACCCTTTGACTGTCTCAAACCCCTTTTTGAAACTGTCATTCTATGTCGCAAAATTTTTGGGAAAAAAAAATATATTTTCTTTTGAAATGATAAAGAATCTTTTCCTGGTGGTAATGACACCAAAAGTAAGAAATTTGGTCGAAAACGGAATTACGCTCCCGCGAAGTTAGCGGTCTCGGCGACATATACACATCGGCAATTTCGCCGACTTTGAGCCCTGTTTTTGGCCAATTCCATTGTTCCAGTTGACCAAACTCATAGCTATTTCTTTAGAACTCCATTTTTTCTATCAGTTGATTACAAGAAACCACCCATTTACTGATTTGAACTACCCAGTAAAGTGGTCAAAAATTGGCAATTTGGCCAATTTCACACAAATTAAAAAAGATGCCAATTTCAAAATAGGGTCCAGAATAAACAATGTAGATGTTCTTGGCACTAAAATAACATATCCTCTGTTCATTAGTCATGTCTCTAGGCTCCTCTTATATTAGTATTGCTTTCTATTTTGATTTTTTATTCATACAAAAAATAAAAAATTTACTGTTATGCAGACTAATGCATTATTGTAAAAATGGTATAAATAATATCAGTGCACTAGTGAAAGAATATTAGATTCCCCAGTTGACGTGTATTGGACGTGTGGTGTGATTTACTTACTCCTGAACATTGGTAAAAATTTAACATTTCCGCTACTTTGAGTTCAATTTCAAGGTCGTTTTCATCGTGAAACTAATCAAAATCATCAATATTTCTGTAATATGTTTTCCATTTTATCACATGAGATCATGAAAACGAGAATACAACGATAAATACTATACAAAAATACACCTCAAAGTCGGCGTTTTAATCCAAAAAAATGGTCAGTTTTTTCTCGTTATGCACTGCGTGCTGCAGGATTTTTTTTATGTGGTGCACACTGACCACACAGACCCATTCTCTCACATGTGGGCCTACCAACTTTCTCCTGCTTGATTTGAAGCCGCTAGCATTTACGCGTATTAATACGTCCGAAACAGTGGTGCGTAAGACGTATATATACGACCAAAACAGTCAAATGGTTAAATTAAAAAATGGGGAGAGGTTAGTGTTTCTTAACTTCAGTTCAAGAATGTGGGAGGGGTTTGGGATATTGGCTGTTTAGAGTGACATCTAAACTGTTGTATCTGGGCACCTCTGCAAGGACATTGATTATGTGTGAATGATGGTGAGTGTTTCTTTTTTGAGTTACCCTGCCTTGGTGGGAGATGGCCAATGTGTTGAAAAAATGCATATTGTTTATTTTTAATTTTAGAAATTAGAATAATGACATAGGTTGTAGGTTGGTAGACAGCAACCACCCAAGGAGGTACATACTACCATCCTGCCAAGTGAGTGTAAAATGAAAGCCTGTATTTGTTTTACATGATGGTAGGATTGCTGGTGTCCTTTTTTTCTGTTTCATAAACATGCAAGACTTCATACTTACACTTGGGTCACACTACACGTACATGTACAAGCATATATATACACACCCCTCTGGGTTTTCTTCTATTTTCTTTCTAGTTCTTGTTCTTGTTTATTTCCGCTTATTTCCATGGGGAAGTGGAACAGAGTTCTTCCTCCGTAAGCCATGCATGTTGTAAGAGGCGACTAAAATGCCATGAGCAAGGGGCTAGTAACCCCTTCTGTATCAATTCCTAAATTTAAAAAGAGAAACTTTGGTTTTTCTTTTTGGGCCACCCTGCTTCGGTGGGATACGGCCGGTTTGTTGAAAGAAAAGATTAGAATATTGTATGTTTTTCTGTTTTTCAGAATGTTTCTTCAAAGTTAAAAAAAAACATTAAACAGTATAACTGAGATGTGTCAGTTAATTCATCCTAATAATGAAGGGATGTTGTTCAAATTCTTAATTTTCTTTTCTTCTTTCAACGAACCAACTGTATCCCACCGAGGCAGGGTGGCCCAAAAAGAAAAACTAAAGTTTCTCTTTTTAAATTTAGGAATTGATACAGGAGAAGGGGTTACTAGCCCCTTGCTCATGGCATTTTAGTCGCCTCCTACAACACGCATAGCTTATGGGGGAAGAATTCTGTTCCACTTCCCCATAGATATAAGAGGAAATAAAGAAGAACTAGTAAGAAAATAGAAGAAAACCCAGAGGGGTGTGTGTGTATAGATATATGCTTGTCTATGCATGTGCAGTGTGACCTAAGTGTAAGCAGAAGTAGCAAGACGTACCTGAAACCTTGCATGTTTATGAGACAGAAAAAAAGACACCTGCAATCCTTCCATCATGTAAAACAATTACAGGTTTCCGGTTTACTCTCCTACTACCTAGGAAATTTGTAGATATACTGAAAAATTTTGTGATGAATGTAAACCTCATGGAGGCGCCTGTAACTAATACTGATACCTTCCTGTAACTAATACTAATACCTTCGTGTAACTAATACTAATACCTACCCATTTCAGAAAAATAAATTTATTTAACCTCCCTGCATTATTTAATAACTTACCTTTTGAGCAATAAGCATCCCCTTATATACACTGTATATGTATTGAACGTACTGTAGTTATCATCATTTTAAAAATAAAAAAAATATTAAAAAAGTGTCAGTAGTGACCTAAAATTGAGGATCAGTATTGGAAAAAATTTTGGTTTCTTCCCAACCCTAAAGCTGAGTATTGGTAACTCCGACAGGTCATCCTCATCATCTCGGGAAACCTCAGTTTCCTCAACTGGCTTACTATCGTCCCAAGCTTGGCTTACTTTGATGACCGCTCCTTCTCATTTTTTTTCTCAAAGGAAACTAAAAGAAAAGTATACAGGCTTCAGAAACTAGAGAGAGAATCTTCTCCCTTAGTTGATGAAGGTGAGAAAACAGGTTCCCTTCAGTGTGTTTGGTGTACAGCTTATCACATATATCTTTGAAGGGTGAGTGCCATTGAAATAAATGTACAGTATACATTAATAATATATAGAATAACCTGAAATTAGTACCTTTATAATATTTATGTAGAATAGTTGAAACCAAAGCCCTGATTTTTGTGACAACCCAGTATCAAGTTATCTGTTTGATCAGAGATTATGGTGATGATAATGATGTAAAAGTGTCAGGTGCATATCTTGGATAATTTATAAGTTAGAATAGATCACTTTAACCCTTAAACTGTCCAAACGTAGATCTACGTTCATCTGCGTGGCACTCCGAATATTTTGAAAAATAATTTTTTTTTTTTTGGTTTTTAAATTAAAGAGGGCTATTTTCTGTGTGGTATAAGGCCAAAAAAAAAAAAATTAGGACCATTGCTTACCGAGACATAAGACCGTGAAGGTGGCTGTGGATGCTCACCTGACGGCAGCATCCAGTCCTTCCGCTTGCAGAAGTGTTGCTGATTTACCCTTTTTTCTCGTTTTTATTTTAATTTATATCATTTTTATGTTCTGATAATTAGAATTTATAATAGTTCTTGTGATTTCATAGCCAATCTTTGTTCTGACACTAATATTATGTACTGAAATATTGCTCAAATTGTAACAATCACACTGACAGGTGAACATTTTCACCTGCCCTGGTTATTTACTATTGTCTAGAAATATATACAAAGTATTTATAGGTCCCAGCAATGTTTTAGACATGCTGGAGTATGAAACTCTTTGAAGCTTTTTTTTTTTTTTTTTTTTTTTTTTTTTTTTTTTTTTTTTTTTTTTTACACACACGGTTTGACAAGATTAGGTTAAGGATCCCTAGCTTTATTGACAAGCTATTTACAGGTTAAGGATTCCTAACATTATTGACAAGCTAAGAGCTGTTACCTACATCAGCTCATTTGAAAGCATTTTAATTGTTATGAAACATGCAAGTAGGGAACAGAATGAAGTTGGAGCCATCTGTGGGCCAGCATTTTCATCTGATCAACTGACTTTATCTCGTTGACATCATAATGCTGTACGAATGTGTTCCAGACTCGAGTCATCCTGGGAATAAATGATCTCAGATGAAGTGATGTTCTGGAGAAGAGTACAGCCAGAGTGAAGTTGCTGCTTTCTGCCTGTCTTGTGGTATAGACACTTGCTTCACGCTGTCCTTGAAGTGGATCCAAGTGTGGTACTTTTACAATATTGGCCTTGTACATAACAGTAAGGCCACCCACATCCCTCCTGTGTTGAAGGCTCTGCTGAAATGACAGATCTATCCAGGATTGGTCCAGGCGAGAGATGAGACGTCTTGCTCTGTTCTCTACTCTGTCAAGCAGTCACAGATGAGAAGGGGGGCAGGCAAACCAAGAACGTGGAGCATACTCAAGGTGTAAGTGTACTTGTGCCTCGTACAAAATCTTGCAACCCCTGCTGTCAAGCAGATGCGAGATATGGCGAAGTGCTGTAAGCTTCCTGGCTACCTTGTTTACAAGATTTACAACGTGGTTCTTCACGGTCAGTTTGGAGTGAAATTTCACCCCAAGGATATCAACTTCTTCTCCAGGTGCCAACACCCTCCCATTCATCCTTACTACTGCACCGGCATTACCATCTTGGTGCCTAGAGATCATCATCCTTTGTGTTTTCTCTGGTGCAAATGTTACTTTTCATCTATTTCCCCAAGCTGATATAGCTCTGAGCTGATGATTGATGTAGCTTAGAGCAGCTAGCATTTCTTCTCTTGGATTGCTGTATAGTCCTTGTGGCTTAGCGCTTCTTTTTGATTATAATAATATAATAATTCTCTTGGATAAGTGAATGTCAGTGTACAGTCGTCTGCATATGCATGGGATTCTGGGATGAGATGAAGAAGGTCATTGAAGTAGTCATTCCATAACAATGGTCCCAGAACACTTCCTTGTGGAACACTTGCCCCAATGGGATGTCTTGCTGATTCTGTTCCATTGAGAACTACCCTTAGAGATCTACCATGAAGGTAATTACTGAGGAGACAGCATAGAGCCTGCAATTCCCAGAGCTTGCAGTTTTGCTAAGAGGCCCTGGTGCCACCCAGTCGAAAACACCAGCAAAGTCCAGTGCTACCACACAGCTGACTTTGGATTCATCCAGTGACTGATGCCACTTAATAGAGAGGTTTAACAACAGATCAGCAGCAGAGTAACCTTTCTTGAAGCCATATTGACGGTCACAAAGTAGTGAGTGGTAGTCAAAAAAACAATGTCATTTGTCTTGAGATTATTGTCTCAAGGAGCTTGCCAGTGATTGACAGGAGTGACACTGGTATGTAGTTGCTGATTTCTACTCTGCTCTTCTTTTTGTGAACAGGGACTACACTTGCCTCTTTCCACAGAGAAGGCCATTTACACTGTACTAGGCAGTGCTGAAAGATGCGAGTTAGAGGTGCTGCTAGTTGGTCTGCACATCTCAGCAATCTTGGGCTCAACTTGTCTGGGCCGACAGCCTTTTCTGGTCAAACGATTTAAGAAGGAAGTGCATCTCTTCGTGCCTTATTGTCACCACTGACAGTTTAGACACAGTTCTTGCAGCTAGCCAAACAGGGTCCCTTGCTGGATCAGGAACTTGCATTTTGGTAGCAAAGTGTTCGGCAAAGAGGTCCGCTTTCTCTTGACTACTAGTAGAGGTGGTCCCATCCTGTCGATTTAGAGGTGGAATGAGTTCATCAGGTAGATAACCTTGTCTGTCCTTGACCAGGGACCACCAGGTTTTGGAGCCTACCCTACCTGATGCTAGCTTTCTTCTTGTGTCTATCTCCTATTTAAGGTGGCCCACTTTTGAACGTCACCCATGTGCTTACAGGCTTGCCTGTGCAAGTTCCTGTTATAGGTGGTAGGGTGTCTCTTGTACTTTCGCCATGCCTTGTACTTAGCAGTAGCAGCCTCTCTACAATGAAAGCCAAACCAAGGCTGATCTGTAGACTTCATCACATATTGCCAGTGAGGAATGTGTTCTTGTTGTAGATTAAGGATGTGTCCCGTGAAGGCTTTCACTTGGTTGTCAGCATCCCTTGGAGAAAAGCATTCCAATTGGTGGTGGCGAGCTCAGAGCAAAGGGCTGGCCAGTTACCTCTTTTTCATAGCCAGGTTGTGCGTGTGGACTCCTCACCTCATTCTGTTGGGATCTTAAGTGTCGTAAAAACAGCCTTGTGATCAGATGATCCAACGTAGCGGAGGGGTTGACAAGTGACTATACTTTCTGCTAGATCGCTCACTACTGGGTCAAGGGAGGAGCCAGAGATGTGAGTAAGGAAATCAACAAAGTTTCTCATGTCAAATACTGCAAGAAGGTCATCAGAGTCCCTCTGTATAAGGTGTTGGTTGAGGTCACCAACACTTATAACATGTTGACATTTGTGTTGTAGCAGAAGGGAATTATGACAAGGGTCAGAGTGTGCCCTGCTGGAGGAAACCTTGCCTTTATATCTTTTTACTCTTGCACACAAACATGTCTTTGTATGTCTGTGTCTGTCAGTCTGTCTGTCTGCCTGGCTGACTCTCTGTCTGCCTGACTATCTGTCTGCCTGTTTGTCTGCCTGTCTATCTGTCTGTCTATCTGTACATCTATCTGTACATCTATCTGTCTGTGTATCTGTATATCTGTCTGTCTATCTGTACATCTATCTGTCTGTCTGTTTGCCTAGCTCTGCTTATCTGTGTGTCTAGTTCAGCTTATCTGTCTTTCTGTCTTCTGTGTGTGCCTGGAGTATAATATGAACTCCTTGAATAATAGTGTGATGACAGGCATCAGATAGCAAGTGACACTTGATGAATGTGCACTGCTGGAGGGAAGGAACCTTGCCTTTATATGTTTTTACTCTTGCACACAAACATGCATCTGTATGTCTGTCTGTCTATTTGTACGTCTATCTGTACATCTATCTGTCTCTGTCTTTCTAGCTCTGCTTATCTGTCTGTCTAGTTCTGCTTATCTGTCTTTCTGTCTGCCTGTGTGTGTCTGTCTTTCCATCTGCTTGTCTCTGTCTCAGGGAGCAGCTAGTAAACCTGTTGGTTTGTAGTGTATGGGCCACTCCCTGATTGCTGAGCAAGTGACATTGCTATTATTTGCATCATGTTTACTTATGTCTTATATCTGCAAACACTGTATAGCACTTGGCCTGGAATTTTTGGGTTATCCTAGGTAATTTACATTATGTATAATTGTATTTATGAGTACATGTGAGAGACAGAGATGTAGACAGAGATACAAATAGACAGTGAGATAGACAGAGATATAGATAGACAGAGATATAGATAGACAGAGATATAGATAGACAGAGATATAGATAGACAGAGATATAGACAGATACAGACAGAGACAGCCAAAGCCAGCCAGCTAGCCAGCCAAATACATAAGAACATAAGAAAGAAGGAACACTGCAGAATGTCTACTGGCCCATGCAAAGCAGGTCCATGTCACCCCCCAGCTTAGACCAATGATCCACCTAGTCAGGTCACATCCAGTGAAAGAAGGAGCACGACATCTTACCCAGTAGCACAAACTAGTCAGGTCCAACTCACACCCACCCACACCCACTCATGCATTTATTTAACCTATTTTTATTTTCCTCTTAAAATGTGAGTGTTAATATGACATGACATCAATGAATCATTGGTGTTTGCCACGCTATTTGCTCTAGCTGGCGCTCAGTTGAATTGGTGCTCCCACAAGGTACTAAGTGGTCCCCGATTTTTTTCATCTTGTGCACACTGAGTGCACAGACCCATTTTTTCATGTCTAGGCGACTCAGGCCTATTGCACCAAATTTGAAGGAATGAAAAATAAAACATTGATCTACGTTTGGAGCCCACCGCACGTGAACATATGTGTACGTGTGGACAGTTTAAGGGTTAAAACAATTTTGGTGATCGCTACCCCTATGGCAGGCCTTGTCCCAGATCACACCTGTAATGGAAAGTTCTATGATTTATTTTCTTAATTAAAATACTGTTTACTGGTTTATTATCAGGTTTAACAAGAAAGTGTGTAAACCTGATACTTACACTGATGATTGGCTACCTTAGTTTGCCTGTGGTCTTGAATCTACTGTCTTCCCGGCAAGCCATGAACACCTCCTTTGAACCATTCAGAATTGTTAATACTTATGGAGCATTTGGAAGGTTAGTTATTTTATTGTAATTTCTATTGCATGTACCTGTATTTGAACTAGGATGTCTGTGCACTTTTGACAAGAGAGCTGGGGAATGAGTGAGTGATAGTGACTGTCTGCTTCTTTGGTACATGCAGTTGTGACAGGACATGGCCAGGGTGTTCAGAGTGCACCCTGTGTTCAGATTCCATGAAACATTAATCTAACAGCAGCATGTCAGGAGACCTCTTATTACACCAGTAATGGAATTTATAATCACTATTGACCTAGTCAGTCATACATTTTTTCCACCTCATTGCCTGTGTTTCCTTGCCTGAGACAGTAGCTGTGCAAGCTCTAAGTTCCATCTCTGTTCTTTGACTTATGGAAGACCTAGCAATATTGTGGAAAACATTTTTTCTAATGTATGAAAAAATGTATGTGTACATCATCATACTCCTCCAAGCTGGATGACAGTGATAGAATTGCTCATTTAGTAACTCATAGCTTGCAAGAGCAGAATTCTTCTTTAGTGAATGTAGCTGAAACAACAGTGAAATCTAGTGATAAGGAAACTATGTGAGGCAGGTAATGTTAATGATGAGCCAGCTATTTGTTCCCTCCTATAAATAACCATTTCTACTGCCTGAGGACATAACAGCTCTCAGGAAGGCAGGTAAATACCTCATGAATTCCAACTATTATCCAACAACTTTTGAATGCACGAGAGGATTCAACTCGAATCCTCAGCTGCTACCAGGTCTTCCTCGCTGTCAACCATACAATCATCAAGCAAGAAGATTCTCCCCTTGATAAACTTAAGCTTTTATTCAATAGCTATATGAGTATTTACATCTATCAAGCTAAAGAGGTTTTGATTACATAGATGACCAAGTGTGCTTCACACTCAAAGAGCACTTTAACCCTTTCAGGGTTTCGGCCGTACTAGTATGGCTTACGCACCAGGGTTTTTGACGTACTAGTACGCCTAAATTCTAGTGCCCTCAAATCTAATGAGAGAAAGCTGGTAGGCCTACATATGAAAGAATGAGTCTATGTGGTCAGTGTGTGTAGTATAAAAAAAATCCTGCAGCACACAGTGCGTAATGAGAAAAAAAAAACTTTGACCATATTTTTGGATTAAAACAGCGACTTTGCACTGTATTTTTGTATGGTATTTATTGTTGTATTTTAGTTTTCCTGGTCTCATTTTATAGAATGGAAGACATATTACTGAAATTGAGATGATTTTGACTGGTTTTACAATTAAAAGTACCTTGAAATTGAGCCCAAAGTTCAAAAGTAAACAAATCATGTTATGCGTCCAATACACGTCAACTGGCGAGTCTGATATTCTTTCACAAGTGCACTGATATTATTTATACCATTTCTACACTAATGCAGTAGTCTGCATAACAGTAAATCTTCTATTTTTTTGTGAGAATAAAAATTCAAAGTGGAAAGCAAAAGAATGTAAGAGGGGCATGGGGAAATGACTAATGAACAGAGGAAATGTTATTTTAGTGCCAGGAATGTCTTTCTTGTTTATTCTGGACCCTATTCGGAAATTGGCATCTTTTGAAATTTGTGTGAAATTGGCAAAATTGCTAAATTCTGACCACTGTATTGGATAGTTGAAATTGGTAAATGGGTGGTTTCTTGTACTCATTCGATAGAAAAAATGGAGTTCTAACGAAATAGTTATGATTTTTGTCGACCAGTACACTGGAATTGGCCGAAAATAGGGCTCAAAGTGGGCAAAATCGCCCATGCGTAAACATCTTCGAGACCGCTAACTTCGCGAGAGCATAATTCCATAAGTTTTCCATCAAATTTCATACTTTTGGTGTCATTATGATCGGGAAAAGATTCTCTATCTTTCCATAAGAATTTTTTTTTTTTTTTTTTTTTAAATTTGGCCGATCCTGAGAACAAGTCTCTGAAAGGGCCTGTCGACCCTGAAAGGGCTAACACAGTGGACCCTCGGGTAACGCCTTTAATCCGTTCCAGAGAGCTAGCCTTTAGCCGAATTAATTTTCCCCATAAGAAATAATGGAAATCCAATTAATCTGTTCCAGACACCCAAAAGTATTAAACAAAATAATTTTTTTTACATGAAATATACATTTCCCTACACAGAAAACAATGATACATGCACAATAACAATACTGAAATGACACAGCTTTATTGTGGACTTGATGAGTGATGAGACGGGAGGAGGGGAGAGGATGAAGGTGTACTAGTGTTTGGAAGGAGAATCCCCTTCCATAAAGACTTCAGGTAACAAGTCCTTTTCTGGGGGTTATCTCCCTTCTTGGTTTTCTAATGCCACTGGGAACAACTTGAGTCACTGGACCCCTGTCGCACAAAATATTTATCCAGAGAGCTCTGTTTCTCGCGTCCCTTTAAGATTTCCCTAAAATGGGACACAAGAGTGTCATTGTACATGTTGCCAACACGGCTTGCAACAGCTGTCCACATACACATTTCCTTAATCTTTGATGAAGGCAACTTCCTCCGTCTTTCTTCCTCCTCCTCTGAAGCACATTCCTGAGCTGTGATCTGTTGCTGTTGCACCTGAAGCTCTTGCAGCTCTGTAGTGGTTAGTTCTTCATAGTTGTCCTGCACCAATGCTTCCACATCCACACCACTAACCTCCAACCCTATGGACTTCCCCAATGCCACAATAGATTCCACAATTGACATAGTCTCCTGAGGGTTAGCCCCAAACCCTTCAAAATCCCTCTCTTGTACACATTGTGGCCACAATTTTCTCCAAGCAGAGTTCAAAGTCTTGCAAGTCACTCCCTCCAAGCCTTACCTATAAGGTTTATGCAACTGAGGATACTGAAGTGATCTTTCCAGAACTATCTTAGGGTCATTTCAGTGTCTGAGGTCACTTCAAAGCACTTTTGAAGCACTTCTTTGGTGTACAGTTTTTTGAAGTTTGAAATGACCTTCTGGTCCATGGGCTGGAGGAGAGGAGTGGTATTAGGAGGCAGAAACTTCAGTTTGATAAAGCTCAACTCCCCAGTAAGTCGTGAGAATGAGCAGGAGCATTGTCCATTACCAGGAGGCACTTGAGTGACAATTTATTTTCCAGGAGGTACTTTTTCACAGTGGAGCCAAACACGTCATAGAACCAGTCCAGGAAGATGTCCCTAGTGACCCATGCCTTACTGTTTGCTCTCAACATCACACATAATTTAGTCTTGATGACATTGTTTTTCTTGAACAATCTAGGAGTTTCAGAGTGATACATGAGTAAAGGCTTCACTTTGCAATCCCCACTAGCATTACTGCAAAACATTAGAGTTAGCCTGTCTTTCATAGGCTTGTGTCTTGGGAGTACCTTTTCCTCCTGAGTAATGTAAGTCCTGTTTGGCATTTTCTTCCAAAACAGGCCTGTTTCGTCACAATTGAACACTTGTTGGGGTTTTAATTTTTCAGTGTCTATGTACTTCTTAAAGTCCTGCACATATTTTTCAGCCGCTTTTTTGTCAGAACTGGCAGCCTCACCATGCCTTATCACACTGCGTATGCCACTACAATTTTTAAATCTCTCAAACCAGCCTTTGCTGGCCTTAAATTCATCAATAGCAGCACTATTTGGAGGCATTTTCTTAATGAGATCTGCATGCAGCTGCCTTGCCTTTTCACATATTATTGACTGAGAAACACTTTCTCCTCATAATTGTTTCTCGTTTATCCACACCAACAACAGTCTCTCCACATCTTCGAGTATTTGCGATCTCTGTTTTGTAAGCATACTTGCACCTTTCGCAAAAACAGCTTCCTTGGTTGCCTTTTTGTTGGCCAAGGTAGTAGTGATGGTTGAATGGGGTTTGTTATATAACCTTTCCAACTCCGAGATACGCACTCCACTCTCATACTTTGCGATTATCTCTTTCTTTAATTCGATAGTACACCTCACTCTTTTTACCACAGGGTTGGCACTAGAAGCTTTCTTGGGGCCCATGGTGGCTTATTTAGCAGTTACAAGCACTAAAAACAATGGAATAATACAAATTATATCGAATGTATGCATGGAATCGTACTCACTGGCTTTGTAAACGATGGCACACTGGCTGTACACGGAGTGAGTAGCTGGGCCCGCTCAGGCCACGCAGACACATTCGGAACGAAAGCCCTTAACCGAGTTAATTGGCTTCAGCCGAGCCAATATTTTTATGCCAAAGCATGCCGTTAGCCGATTTTGGCACTAACCGATGAAGCCTTTACCCGAGGGTCCACTGTACTCGGCAAATTATTGCTGGAGATTCAAGAAACTTGCCTGACCCTTGCATGGCATCAGTCAAGACAACAGCTGTTAAACATGGGTTAAGCCTGGCTGCTAAAATTACTGACAATGTTAAATAAAAGGACCCATGTGCTACTAATGTGTCATTTTATTGTGGTAACGTTTTGCTCTCTAGAAGCTTTGTCAAACTGTTACAAACAGTACAAGGACACAAAGGGTATGTATATATAGGTAATGTGATGTGAAAGAGCATAAGCACTACTGTAGGCCTACTGGCCTACTACTGCCTACAACATAGGCCAATAGGCCTACTGTAGTGCTTATGCTCTTTCATCTCTTGTTACCTATATACAGTATGTCTCTTGTGTCCATGTATTGTTTGTAATGGCTTGACAAAGTTTCTGGAGAGTGAAATGTTGCCACAAAATGTCACATTAGTTGCACTTGGGTTCTTTTATTTAACATTGGGTCTTGTTCTTTTACATTCAGTAACTGTTATTTTTAATCAAGCTTTTGTTTGGATAAGTCAGTTCATTTTCCTCTTTTTAAATACTTTTTCTTTAGTTTTACTTATACTGTACTTGAAGTTATATTTCTGTTATTCAGTGGATGCGTAGTAAATTAGTTAAACGAAATCTCATCTCACTAACATAACTAAACCAGCACTTTCCTATATCAAACAAAACCAGGTCATCCAACTCAGTTCCTGTTCTTCTTCAACTCTCACAGAAAATTAATTACTCATTTTGTTTCCATTATAGTATTTCTACTGAAACTAAGTAACTTCCTGTATCTTTATCTCTTTCAGTCATTCCATTAAACTGAAGATATAAAAAAAATTGAAACAAATAATGCCTTAAAAGTGAAACTTTTGTTCATTCACTACCTTTCTCATTGTGAACATAATATTAGTTAACTGCTTAAGAAATCCTAGTTAACTAAAGATCATCACTGAATCAGTTTGAAGTATTAATGCATACTTTTAAAATTGTACTATTGTTCACTTAGCTGCCTCTCTTTTTTTTGTACATTTAAGAACTCCTACTTAATAATCTATGTCTAGTTCTTAAGTAGTCTTTAAGCATTAGGATTAGTTTACCCAAAATGCACTGCATGCTAGTGATTTTTTTTTTTTTTGCCTAACTATTTTATTACATGTGCACTACTTTATCTGTATACTGCAGAAAAGAAATAAAGTATTTTTATTTTTGTTTGTCCCTTTCCAGTGTAACAAAGGAGCGAACAGAAGTCATCTTTGAGGGTACACATTCTTGGGACCCTGATGCAGCTAATGCTACTTGGCACGAGTATGAGTTTAAATGCAAACCTGGCAGGTTAGATCGTGTGCCCTGCCTTATTTCACCTTACCACTACCGCCTGGACTGGCTGATGTGGTTTGCAGCATTTCAGGTAAGCTTGAAAAATACATAAGAAGCAAACTTCTGAAGTTGCATTAGGTATTACTATTTACTGATTCATTGACTGTACCTAAGATTCATCTGCTGATCTCATTCCTACAGGCACTTTTCAGTAGACTATGTTAATTAGCCTATGTATTATTTTTTTCAACACGTCGGCCGCTTCCCATCGAGGCAGGGTGACCCAAAAAGAAAGAAAAAAAAACTTTCATCATCATTCAACACTTTCACCATCACTCATACATAATCACTGTCTTTCCAGAGGCGCTCGGATATGACAGTTTAGACATCCCTCCAAACTGCCAATAGCCTAAACCCCTTCTTTAACCCTTAAACTGTCCAAGCTGATCTACGTTCACATGCGTAGTGCTCCAAAAGTAGACCTACTTTTTTTTTACATATTTTCAAATATATATCAGATCACTTTCTAGTTGTAGCTACACTGAGAGTAAAAGGTAGATGGGATACAAGGAGAATAGAAGCATCAGGGAAGAGAGAGGTAAAGGTTTATAAACTAAAAGAGGAGGCAGTTAGGGTAAGATATAAACAGCTATTGGAGGATAGATGGGCTAATGAGAGCATAGGCAATGGGGTCGAAGAGGTATGGGGTAGGTTTAAAAATGTAGTGTTAGAGTGTTCAGCAGAAGTTTGTGGTTACAGGAAAGTGGGTGCAGGAGGGAAGAGGAGCGATTGGTGGAATGATGATGTAAAGAGAGTAGTAAGGGAGAAAAAGTTAGCATATGAGAAGTTTTTACAAAGTAGAAGTGATGCAAGGAGGGAAGAGTATATGGAGAAAAAGAGAGAAGTTAAGAGAGTGGTGAAGCAATGTAAAAAGAGAGCAAATGAGAGAGTGGGTGAGATGTTATCAACAAATTTTGTTGAAAATAAGAAAAAGTTTTGGAGTGAGATTAACAAGTTAAGAAAGCCTAGAGAACAAATGGATTTGTCTGTTAAAAATAGGAGAGGAGAGTTATTAAATGGAGAGTTAGAGGTATTGGGAAGATGGAAGGAATATTTTGAGGAATTGTTAAATGTTGATGAAGATAGGGAAGCTGTGATTTCGTGTATAGGGCAAGGAGGAATAACATCTTGTAGGAGTGAGGAAGAGCCAGTTGTGAGTGTGGGGGAAGTTCGTGAGGCAGTAGGTAAAATGAAAGGGGGTAAGGCAGCCGGGATTGATGGGATAAAGATAGAAATGTTAAAAGCAGGTGGGGATATAGTTTTGGAGTGGTTGGTGCAATTATTTAATAAATGTATGGAAGAGGGTAAGGTACCTAGGGATTGGCAGAGAGCATGCATAGTTCCTTTGTATAAAGGCAAGGGGGATAAAAGAGAGTGCAAAAATTATAGGGGGATAAGTCTGTTGAGTGTACCTGGTAAAGTGTATGGTAGAGTTATAATTGAAAGAATTAAGAGTAAGACGGATGAATAGGATAGCAGATGAACAAGGAGGCTTTAGGAAAGGTAGGGGGTGTGTGGACCAGGTGTTTACAGTGAAACATATAAGTGAACAGTATTTTGATAAGGCTAAAGAGGTCTTTGTGGCATTTTATGGATTTGGAAAAGGGGTATGACAGGGTGGATAGGGGGGCAATGTGGCAGATGTTGCAAGTGTATGGTGTAGGAGGTAGGTTACTGAAAGCAGTGAAGAGTTTTTACGAGGATAGTGAGGCTCAAGTTAGAGTATGTAGGAAAGAGGGAAATTTTTTCCCAGTAAAAGTAGGCCTTAGACAAGGATGTGTGATGTCACCGTGGTTGTTTAATATATTTATAGATGGGGTTGTAAGAGAAGTAAATGCGAGGGTCTTGGCAAGAGGCGTGGAGTTAAAAGATAAAGAATCACACACAAAGTGGGGGTTGTCACAGCTGCTCTTTGCTGATGACACTGTGCTCTTGGGAGATTCTGAAGAGAAGTTGCAGAGATTGGTGGATGAATTTGGTAGGGTGTGCAAAAGAAGAAAATTAAAGGTGAATACAGGAAAGAGTAAGGTTATGAGGATAACAAAAAGATTAGGTGATGAAAGATTGAATATCAGATTGGAGGGAGAGAGTATGGAGGAGGTGAACGTATTCAGATATTTGGGAGTGGACGTGTCAGCGGATGGGTCTATGAAAGATGAGGTGAATCATAGAATTGATGAGGGAAAAAGAGTGAGTGGTGCACTTAGGAGTCTGTGGAGACAAAGAACTTTGTCCTTGGAGGCAAAGAGGGGAATGTATGAGAGTATAGTTTTACCAACGCTCTTATATGGGTGTGAAGCGTGGGTGATGAATGTTGCAGCGAGGAGAAGGCTGGAGGCAGTGGAGATGTCATGTCTGAGGGCAATGTGTGGTGTGAATATAATGCAGAGAATTCGTAGTTTGAAGTTAGGAGGAGGTGCAGGATTACCAAAACTGTTGTCCAGAGGGCTGAGGAAGGGTTGTTGAGGTGGTTCGGACATGTAGAGAGAATGGAGCGAAACAGAATGACTTCAGAGTGTATCAGTCTGTAGTGGAAGGAAGGCGGGGTAGGGGTCGGCCTAGGAAGGGTTGGAGGGGGGTAAAGGAGGTTTTGTGTGCGAGGGCTTGGACTTCCAGCAGGCATGCGTGAGCGTGTTTGATAGGAGTGAATGGAGACAAATGGTTTTTAATACTTGACGTGCTGTTGGAGTGTGAGCAAAGTAACATTTATGAAGGGATTCAGGGAAACCGGCAGGCCGGACTTGAGTCCTGGAGATGGGAAGTACAGTGCCTGCACTCTGAAGGAGGGGTGTTAATGTTGCAGTTTAAAAACTGTAGTGTAAAGCACCCTTCTGGCAAGACAGTGATGGAGTGAATGATGGTGAAAGTTTTTCTTTTTCGGGCCACCCTGCCTTGGTGGGAATCGGCCGGTGTGATAATAAAAAAAAAAAAAAAAAAAAAAAAATAATAAAAAAAAAAAAAAAAAAAGTAGATCGAAGTTTTTTTACACGTTTTCAAATGTAAAAAAAAAAATCTACTTTTTACATACTTTCAAATGTTGAAAAAACGTAGATCTACGTTTGGACAGTTTAAGAGTAAAAGTGCAGACATTGTACTTCCTATTTCTAGGATTCACGTCCAGCTAACCGGTTTCCCTGAATTCCTTCACAAAATATTACGCTGCTCCTCACACTCTTAACAGCTCATCAGGTCCCAAAAACCATTTGTCTTCATTCACTCCTATCTAACACACTCATGCACCCTTGCTGTAAGTCCAAGCCGCTCGCCCACAGAACCTCCTTTACCCCCTCCCTCCAACCTTTTTGGGGACAACCCCTACCCCATCTTCCTTCCCCAATAGATTTATACTCCAAGTCATTCTACTTTGTTTCATTCTCTCTAAATGACCAAACCACCTCAACAGCCCCTCTTCAGCCCTCTGACTAATACTTTTAGTAACTCCACACCTCCTCCTAATTTCTACACTATGAATTCTCTGCTTAATATTTACACCACACATTGCCCTTAGACACGACATCTCCACTGTCTCCAGCTGCCTCCTCACTGCAGCATTTACAACCCATGCTTCACACCCATATAAGAGTGTTGGTACCACTATACTCATACATTCCCTTCCTTGCTTCCATGGATTACATTCTTTGTCTCCACAGATACCTCAATGCACCACTCGCCTTTTTTCCTTCATCAATTCTGTGGTTTACCTTAACCTTCATAAACCCATCCACTGACATGTCGACGCCCAAATATCTGAAAACATTCACTTCTTTAATATATTAGTGTTAACACTTCAGGTTCAAACTTGTGAACTCCGACAAGAGAGAGGCAAGTGTGTATGTGTAACCACTAACCTCCCTTCAGATGAAGTGGAATTGCCAATAGACCCATAACTGTTTTTAAGAAGAAATATGACTCATCACTTAAGCCATTCCTAAACAACCAGAATGTTGAGATTAACCATGCATATGCTTTTATATATTAACTCATTCTTTTTATATTTCAGAGATACGAACAGAATCCCTGGCTTATTCATCTAGCTGGAAAGTTCCTGATAAATGACCAGGAAGCTTCAACTCTAATTGCTCATAATCCATTCCTTGGCCAAGATCCTCCAAAGTAAGTGTAATAAAAGACTAGTTACTATTTTGTAGTCTAATGTTGTTGAGTGAGTACTTAGCCATCCCAGCAAACTATGCAAAGTATAACAAAATAGTACAAACAGCCTTCTTTATCCTGCAGTATATGAGTGTGTGGGGGGGATATTGGGCTGGGATTCCATTTTTTTGTATTTACTGTACTTCCCTCCACAAAAGTTGAAAATGTGAAGGGGGTTAAGCAGTGATGGAAATATTATAAACACAGAGCTAAATATAATGGTACTTGGGACCTGACGATCTGTTGGAGTGTGAGCAGGGTAATATTTAGTGAAGGGATTCAGGGAAACCGGTTATTTTCATATAGTCGGACTTGAGTCCTGGAAATGGGAAGTACAATGCCTGCACTTTAAAGGAGGGGTTTGGGATATTGGCAGTTTGGAGGGATATGTTGTGTATCTTTATATGTGTATGCTTCTAAACTGTTGTATTCTGAGCACCTCTGCAAAAACAGTGATAATGTGCGAGTGTGGTGAAAGTGTTGAATGATGATGAAAGTATTTTCTTTTTGGGGATTTTCTTTCTTTTTTTTGGGTCATCCTGCCTCGGTGGGAGACTGCCGACTTGTTGAAAAAAAAAAAAAAAAATGATAATCTGGAAATGTGCCAAGAGTAAAAGTGTGTGACTTGTAAGACTGGGAAGAGCATGTTACAGGAGTGTTTTGTTCTTCTTCTGAATGAATAACAACAATAAAATAAGAGAAACAGTGTTTGAGTGAATTAAGAGGATGAGAGGAGACAAAGGTCTAGATGAGTATATATTTGGTGAATAAGTATATGAGAAAAGTTTTCTATACTTGTTAGCAGAGCATGAAAAGTTGAAATAAACAGAGATGAAAGGAAGCAGTCGTTAGGAAGGAATGAACTTGTGGGACCCATAGGAACACAGTTAAAATTATATTGTGCCTATTCCTACCTGATATACCATTCTTTTACCCTGGTACAGTCTATTTGTTTGTCCCTAAAATAGTCTCATTTGCTCTGCAAACTGGTCATTAATTTGCTGTTGTGGTGAGTATATACCAGGTGGGACATATATATCCCTGACCAACACAGTTATCAAATGGATTTTGTAATGACAGAATAACAATACTTTCCTTCTTCACTCATCGTGGATTACTTTCAGCCAGCATTTCTTCTGCCCTGCATCTGGCAGCTTTTCAGGTGCTGTCCACATTTATATTTTACTTCGTGTTCTTCTGCTGATGAAGAAAAAACCTTATATATTCCCCCATCTGTGATGATTGCAAGTATTTTCTCTATCTTATACCTGCAGTTATACAAAATCTCATTGCAGTGAAAGCATATACTCTTCCTCAGCTCCATCTTAAGTCCTGGAATGACTTCATCCACATTACCACCTCTCACTATGACCATCGCCTGCCATCAGCATTGCTAAAAATAATTCATCCTTCTTTAGACAATTGCACCAGACATGTGGGAACTCACCAGAACTATGCCAGACATATATTAAAGAAGAATACATTTGAGAAAGGGAGCACGGGGCTAGTAACCCCTTCTCCTGTATACATTACTAAATTTAAAAGGAGAAACTTTGGTGCTTCCTTTTGGGCCACCCCGCCTCGGTGGGATACAGTCGATGCATTGAAAAAAAAAATTGAGAAAATAGTACCTAAGAAGAATGCAGTAGTGTTGTCATATATTCTGAATGGAGGTTTGAAGGATAGCACAACTTACGTTATATTGAGCTCTGCTTTCTGGTAATCTGGGGAATATTTATTGAACATATCTGAGTGAGAACTGATAAGGAAGCAAGTTTTTCTGCAGAAACGGAAATGAGAACAGTTGTTTTCCATTATGACAGGTGGAGCCCCATTATCTAAACCCTGGCACATCCAGATGCTCTCTCATACACTGCCTGAGTTAGCAGCCTGATTTTCCTGGGATGTAGGAATCCCCAAATAAACATATTTATAGCTGTGCCACAGTGAAAACCATGCCCTTTTATGTATAACTTTCTTATTTAACAAGTTTTTCACAATTTGTTATTAATCATGAAAATATTCAATTGTAAAAATAAAACCAGAGTTGATATATGACTGTTAGAAGCACAGAAATGTAGGATAACAGTGTAATTACACTCACACACCACCTCACAGCTTACTTTTTGAAACTTTATGGCACATTGTATACTTAATTTTCCCATTTACTTTGAACTTGGGGGACAATATTTTTTTAGCATTTTATTGAAGACTTACCCAGTGGATATGGGTTTATTGTATATTTTTTTTTTTTAACACATTGGCCATCTCCCACCAAGGCAGGGCGACTCAAAAAAGAAACATTTATATATTATATTGTATATTTCTTTTTTTTTTTTCCAACATGACAGCTGTCTTCCACCGAGGCAGGGTATATGTCATTGCATAAATGAAAAATGCAGTTTTTTAGAGTTTGAAGATAAAAGTCAAAAATTCATTCAAATTATATGGGAGGTAATAAGTTCAGAATTGGTATAGATAACAAAAGAAATGGAAATTGCTGTTGCTTACTTTAATACAGTACATGTACACTTCCAGAAAGTTATGGTGATGAATATTATTAGATTTTCTCTTTCAGATTTGTGAGAGTTCTACACTACAAGTATGAGTACACAGACTTGGGCAGTGAAGATAAAAGCAACTGGTACAGGCGCAAATTAAAAGGCACTTACCTTCCTCCTGTAGACATAAGCATGCTCCACCCATTGTTTAAACAAATGCTTTGGAAAACCCTTGATGGCTACAAGTAGTAGTTTAAATTTCCATGGAATAAAATTTCTACATTTTATAAATGAGCAATGAGGAAAAGAAATGCAGTTAAAGATACCCCTTTTACAAACTAAAAAATAAAATAAACCTTTTTTTTTTTTTTTTTTTTTTTTTTTTAATATACATCTTTATTACAAAATTAGGCAACATTTACTTAATACATTTTGAAAAGGCCCTGGTTATGCTGAACATTACAGACTATAGTGAACCAAAAACTGTTTGTCATCATGTAGTTGTATAATTGAAGTTTAGATTATGTGAATGATCAGCTTAATATACAGTAACTAAATTGTCTGAGGATAAGATTATTAAATGTATTAATAAATGTTAGGAATAAAACTATATTTTTTTTTTTTTTTTCTCAACAAGTCGGCCGTCTCCCACCGAGGCAGGGTGACCCAAAAAAGAAAGAAAACCCCCAAAAAGAAAATATTTTCATCATCATTCAACACTTTCACCACACTCACACATTATCACTGCTTTTGCAGAGGTGCTCAGAATATAACAGCTTAGAAGCATATACGTATAAAGATACACAACATATCCCTCCAAACTACCAATATCCCAAACCCCTCCTTTAAAGTGCAGGCATTGTACTTCCCATTTCCAGGACTCAAATCCGACTATATGAACATAGCCGGTTTCCCTGAATCCCTTCACTAAATATTACCCTGCTCACACTCCAACAGATCGTCAGGTCCCAAGTATCATTCGCCTCCATTCACTCCTATCTAACACGCTCATGCACGCTTGCTGGAAATCCAAGCCCCTAGCCCACAAAACCTCCTTTACCCCCTCTTTCCAACCCTTTCGAGGACGACCCCTACCAATCCTTCCTTCCCCTATAGATTTTATGCTTTCCATGTCATTCTACTTTGATCCATTCTCTCTAAATGACCAAACCACCTCAACAACCCCTCTTCTGCCCTCTGACTAATGCTTTTATTAACTCCACACCTTCTCCTAATTTCCACACTCCGAATTTTCTGCATAATATTTACACCACACATTGCCCTTAGACAGGACATCTCCACTGCCTCCAACCGTCTCCTCACTGCTGCATTTACCACCCAAGCTTCACATCCATATAAGAGTGTTGGTACTACTACACTTTCATACATTCCCTTCTTTGCCTCCATAGATAACGTTTTTTTGACTCCACATATACCTCAACGCACCACTCACCTTTTTTCCCTCATCAATTCTATGATTAACCTCATCCTTCATAAATCCATCCGCCGACACGTCAACTCCCAAGTATCTGAAAACATTCACTTCTTCCATACTCCTCCTCCCCAATTTGATATCCAATTTTTCTTTATCTAAATCATTTGATACCCTCATCACCTTACTCTTTTCTATGTTCACTTTCAACTTTCTACCTTTACACACATTCTCAAACTCATCCACTAACCTTTGCAATTTTTCTTTAGAATCTCCCATAAGCACAGTATCATCAGCAAAAAGTAACTGTGTCAATTCCCATTTTGAATTTGATTCCCCATAATTTAATCCCACCCCTCTCCCAAACACCCTAGCATTTACTTCTTTTACAACCCCATCTATAAATATGTTAAACAACCATGGTGACATTACACATCCCTGTCAAAGACCTACTTTTACTGGGAAGTAGTCTCCCTCTCTTCTACACACCCTAACCTGAGCCTCACTATCCTCATAAAAGCTCTTTACAGCATTTAGTAACTTACCACCTATTCCATATACTTGCAACATCTGCCACATTGCTCCTCTATCCACTCTATCATATGCCTTTTCTAAATCCATAAATGCAATAAAAACTTCCCTACCTTTATCTAAATACTGTTCACATATATGCTTCAATGTAAACACTTGATCTACACATCCCCTACCCACTCTGAAGCCTCCCTGCTCATCCGCAATCCTACATTCTGTCTTACCTCTAATTCTTTCAATTATAACCCTACCATATACTTTTCCTGGTATACTCAGTAAACTTATTCCTCTATAATTTTTACAATCTCTTTTGTCCCCTTTCCCTTTATATAAAGGGACTATACATGCTCTCTGCCAATCCCTAGGTACGTTCCCCTCTTTCATACATTTATTAAACAAAAGTACCAACCACTCCAACACTATATCCCCCCCTGCTTTTAACATTTCTGTCATGATCCCATCAGTTCCAGCTGCTTTTACCCCCTTTCATTCTACTTAATGCTCACGTACCTCCACCACACTTACATTCTGCTCTTCTTCACTCCTAAAAGATGGTATACCTCCCTGGCCAGTGCATGAAATTACCGCCTCCCTTTCTTCCTCAACATTTAAAAGTTCCTCAAAATATCCTTGCCATCTACCTAATACCTCCCTCTCCCCATCTACTAACTCCCCTACTCTGTTTTTAACTGACAAATCCATACTTTCCCTAGGCTTTCTTAACTTGTTTAACTCACTCCAAAATTTTTTCTTATTTTCATTAAAATTTCTTGACAGTGCCTCTCCCACTCTTTCATCTGCTCTCCTTTTGCACTCTCTCACCACTCTCTTCACCTTTCTTTTACTCTCCATATACTCTGCTCTTCTTATAACACTTCTGCTTTGTAAAAACCTCTCGTAAGCTACCTTTTTCTCTTTTATCACACCCTTTACTTCATCATTCCACCAATCACTCCTCTTTCCTCCTGCCCCCACCCTCCTATAACCACAGACTTCTGCCCCACATTCTAATACTGCATTTTTAAAACTATTCCAACCCTCTTCAGCCCCCCCACTACTCATCTTTGCACTAGCCCACCTTTCTGCCAATAGTCGCTTATATCTCGCCCGAACTTCCTCCTCCCTTAGTTTATACACTTTCACCTCCCTCTTACTTGTTGTTGCCACCTTCCTCTTTTCCCATCTACCTCTTACTCTAACTGTAGCTACAACTAAATAATGATCTGATATATCAGTTGCCCCTCTATAAACATGTACATCCTGGAGCCTACCCATCGACCTTTTATCCACCAATACATAATCTAACAAACTACTTTCATTACGTCCTACATCATACCTTGTATATTTATTTATCTTCTTTTCATAAAATATGTATTACTTTACCAAATTTTTTTCTAACATACTCAATTAAAGGCTCCCAATTTACATTTACCCTGGCATTCCCAAATTTACCTAACTAACTACCCCTCATATACAAGTTTTACCACATTAGCATTGAAATCCCAACCACCATTATCTACAGATTGATTCTACAATACTCCATGCATTTCAACTCATAACATTTTCCAGACATCTCTCTCTCTACCTACATTCTCTCTAAGTCAGTATTACACCTTATTATAAACTCCACTTATTCCACATCCATGCTTTATTTTACCTCACATAATCTTGAATTTATATTACCCATAATATAAAAAAACAATGTAATATGTAAGAAGAAGAGTAAAAAAATTATTGTAAAATTTCAGTTATATAATTAAGGGTAAAATGTACTGACAATTTATTATTATTTTTTTAAACAAACCACCACATCCCACCAAGGTTGTGTGACCTAAAAAGAAAAACAAAAGTCTTTCTTCTTAAATTTAGTAATTTATAGAGGAGAAGAGGGTTACTAGCCCCTTGCTCCCATTATTATTATTATTATTATTATTATTATTATTATTATTGCAATCTTAACCAAGCACTAAACCTACAAGGGTCTGTAGTGACAAGGAGATTTATTAATGGGCGGGGGTGTTTGCTTAAACAAAAATCCATTGCACTAAAGTGCCTGGTGTAGCAGACTAGGTCAGCTTCATCATGAATATATGTGCTTAAACATCTATTCACCATGTAACCATGTTGGAGTGGGAGACATATAGTTAGACATACACCAACAGCACATTGTTGATCTTCACATTTATACAATGCTTCAACTCTTGTGCCTGGGATGAGCTGATGAATCTTTCAATGCATATATTATTTACCTTTATGCTCAACTGAATAATTTTAGCTTTATTTCTATACACTATTATGTAGGTTTGTTGGTGGTCATCCAGGACAGTAGCATCTAGATGAGAGATTATAAAAGTTGTGAAATCTGCAAACAGAACTGGTGTTAAGTTCCTGGGAGGCATTAGATAAGTCATTGATATAGACGAAGAATAACAGGATAATATGTGTACATATATGAAACTGGAGGTTGGAGAGAGGGGGTAAAGGTGGTGTTGTGGGCGAGGGGTTTGGACTTCCAGCAAGCGTGCGTGAGCGTGTTAGATAGGAGTGAATGGAGACAAATGGTATTCGGGACCTGACGATCTGTTGGAGTGTGAGCAGGGTAATATTTAGTGAAGGGATTCAGGGAAACCGGTTATTTTATATAGCCAGACTTGAGTCCTGGAAATGGGAAGTACAATGCCTGCACTCTAAAGGAGGGATTTGGGATATTGGCAGTTTGGAGAGATATATTGTGTATTTTTATATGTATATAGTACTTCTAAACTGTTGTATTCTGGGCACCTCTGCAAAAACAGTGATTATGTGTGAGCGAGGTGAAAATGTTGAATGATGATGAAAGTATTTTCTTTTTGGGGATTTTCTTTCTCTTTGGGTCACCCTGCCTCGGTGGGAGACGGCCGACTTGTTGAAAAAAAAAATGAAACTGAGTATTGAATAGGATAAGAGTATTGTTCCTTACAAATAGCATCAAAGTGTAATATTGTAAATCTGTGCTGGGATCTTTCAGGCATTTTGAACCTTAAACTGATTCACATTTATTTATACTAATAAGTAATCAATAATACTGTATATTACTATATATAATTTTTACAGTTTGTTTTGTCCTCCTTCCCTTTATATAGAGGAACTATACATGCTCTCTGCCAATCCTTAGGTACCTTTCCCTCTTTCATACATTTGTTAAACAAAAATACCAACCACTCCAACACTATATCTTCCCCTGTTTTTAACATTTCTGTCATGACCCCATCAGTTCCAGCTGCTGTACCCCCTTTCATCGTACATAATGCCTCATGCACCTCCCCCACACTCACATCCTGTTCTTCACTCCTAAAAGATGTTATACCTCCCTGGCCAGTGCATGAAATTACCGCTTCCCTTTCTTCATCGACATTTAAAAGTTCCTCAAAATATTCTCGCCATCTACCCAAAACTTCCATCTACTAACTCCCCTACTCTGTTTTTAACTGACAAATCCATTCGTTCTTAGGCTTTCTTAACTTGTTTATCTTACTCCAAAATTTTTTCTTATTTTCTGCAAAATTTCTTGACAGTGCCTCACTATCATCTGCTCTCCTTTTGCACACTCTCACCACTCTCTTCACCTTTCTTTTACTCTCCATATACTCTGCTCTTCTTATAACACTTCTGCTTTGTAAAAACCTCTCATAAGCTACCTTTTTCTCTTTTATCACATACTTTACTTTATCATTCCACCAATCACTCCTCTCCTCCTGCACCCACCCTCCTATAGCCACAAACTTCTGCCCCACATTTGAATACTGCATTTTTAAAACTATTCCAACCCTCTTCAGCTCCCCCTTCCTACTCATACTTGCACTATCCCACCTTTCTGCCAATAGTTGTTTATATCTCACCCTAATTTCCTCCTCCCTTAGTTTATGCACCTTCACCTCTCTCTTATTTGTTGTTGCCATTTTCCTTTTGTCCTATCCACCTCTTACTCTTACTGTAGCTACAACTAAATAATGATTCAATATATCAGTTGCCCCTCTATAAACATGTACATCCTGAAGCCTACCCATCAACCTTTTATCCACCAATACCTTATCTAACAAACTACTTTCATTATGTGCTATATCATACCTTTTATACTTATTTATCCTCTTTTTCATAAAATATGCATGTATTACTTATTATCAAATCTCTTTTCTACACACAGCTCAACTAAAAGCTTCCCATATTTACCTACAACTCCCTCCGCAACATTTTCACCCACTTTAGCATTGAGATCCCCAACCACAAGTACTCGCTCACGTGGTTTGAAACTCTCCATGCACTCACTCAACATTTCTCAAAATCTCTCTCTCCCTCTCTCCTGTACACTACTCTCTTCTCCAGGTGCATAAACGCTTACTG